TTATTCTAATTGGAATGACAGAATTAGGAGTTGAAACTATATTTTTTTTTAATAAAGAATTAATTAGGGGTTGAATACAAGGAGTAGTAGATTGGTACGATGCTACTTGATGCTTCCCTATCCAATTCAAGTAGTTAGGATAAAGACGACGTTGTTTTCCCAATCTCTTGATGACGAGGCTCTCCTTTGTTTGCTGGATGAATTTCTTGTTCGGATAAGTTTAATCCGGAGTTGTCCATAGTGTGGCAATATGTTTTGGGTATGTTTTTTTTTTTGTCTGAATTTGTTCATTGTGGAACTATTGTAATTATCGTTTAGTTCTCTTATCTACGAGTTTCTATTGAAAAAAAAAAAACATATTTGTAAGAATCCCACGTCGACAAAGAATGAAGAGATTTATGATTTATAAGTAAAAAATTGATCCTAACTGACACGATGCGCTTTGAGGCAAAATGAAAAAGTTCTTATAAAATTCGTGAGATCTAAACCCAAAACATACAATATTTTATCCAAAAAAGATTCAAAATGTTACAATATTTCTCATTAGCCATTTCTTATTTTAGTACCCTTGCCAAGTTTGGTATTATTTATGGAAGTATAACAATAATAAAAAAACCTATTAAAGGCAAACAAAATCATACATTTTTTTTTATGACAGATTAATCAATTACTAAGTGGGATTTTGCAAAGATTGAATGACCAAAAAGGAAATATTCTAATAAATGAGTGACCTAGAGTGGGTTTGAAAAAAGTTGAAACCCAGAAAAAAAGAGAGAATATGCTGTTGTAGGCAAAGGCAATGACTGAAAGCGAGCATTCCGTGGGCGTGGGAGTATTCTTTTACAGGTATAAAAGGCGTTCTGGACGGTAAGCATAGAAGAAGAAGAAGAAGAAGAAGAAGAAGACTCTGCCTGCCTCAGTCAATTCTTCTCATCCGCATCAGAATCAGAGAATCAGCCGACCCCACACCCCCCATTCTTCTTCTTCTTCTTCCTCAAGTTTCCTCTCCTTTGTTTCTTCCTCAAGTCTCTCCATCCTCTTCCCCCACATTCCCCTTCCTCTCTGTAAAGCCTGCTCGATTTTACCCACAACAGCACTCAACTTCCGATGGCCACCGTATCCCAATCCTCCGCCTTTATAACCAGGCCCACTATCCTTTCTCTGCCCACATTGCTCTGAAAAACCCTCAACCCCCCCAATCACTTCTAAGTTCTGATCCTGTTCGCGCCCTCACACTTCCTTCATTCTTCGATTTCCAGAGCTGGGTTCCATGAATTCTTCCGAATTCGTCAAGAACCACCGCCCCCTCCGCCGCCTGAGGTGCTCCGTCCAGCACTACGATTGGGGCAGAATGGGGCAGGATTCCCTTGTCGGAAAGGTCTGTGCTTTGAATTCTGGTTCCGAGATCCAACTCGACAAGCCCTATGCTGAGTTCTGGATGGGGATCCATCCCTCCGGCCCCTCTTTCGTCGCCGACGGTGCTGGGATTGGGATTGCGAACGGGAATGGGAATGGGAATGGCGCCGCTATTGACTCCCACCCTCACTCCGACGCTGCTGAGTTGAGTCTGAAAGACTGGATTGTTCAGAACCCTTCCGTCCTCGGTGATAAGGTTTTGGATAAGTGGGGGTCTGATCTCCCCTTCTTATTCAAGGTACGAATTTCCATCCCCCTCGCAAATTCAATGCATTGTCTTTTACTGTCCGCTGCAATTGCTGATTTAGCCAAGCTGTTTTGATTCGTGAACTTTTGTTCGAGTATGCTAGTTTTCGCTTGTGTGAATTCGTTTTTGGCAGTCATTTTGATGTACTGCAAGTGTTTGATAATATGACTGAATGAGAGTTTCTCGTTTGATTCACTATTTCGTAAAATTTCCCCTGCCCTGTGGCAAGGATTAGCTTTAATGGAGTCTCAGTGATTCATTCAGTCCCCTCTGGTTTCTCCAGATACTTTCTGTGGCAAAAGCACTGTCAATTCAGGCGCACCCAGATAAAAAATTGGCAAAGAAGCTCCACAAATTGCACCCAAATATATACAAGGATGACAGCCACAAGCCTGAGATGGCTTTGGCAGTAACAGAGTTTGAGGCCCTTTGCGGGTTCGTCTCTTTTGAGGTAATTATGGTCTCCCCCAATCTCCATCTCGATCCCTTTTTGTGCTCTCTTTTATCATCACTAAAGGGGATTCTTTTGAGTTGGCTGTTTTCTCCTGTTTGTCGGTGGTATGGCACGTGATGGATGCCATGACAAGCTACTTGCTTTCATCTGTTTCATGTGAATCCTTTTAGTGATCCAGTTATGTTAAAATGGGATTTCCACAAGTCTCCTCTCCTGTTTGGGGTTTTCTAATTCTCTGCAGTTTGGCTGGATCGATATGATGAGTCTGAACAGTAGATTACAGCTTGCCTGGCCACCATATAATAATGGAGATTCTATGGTTGACATACTTTTGTCTTTTGGATTGATTGGGAAGCTTTTGATCTTTTGTTTGTTGTTGGTAGGGGTGAACAAACACACCCGCAAACCGACCCACCCGTCCAACCCGACCCAACCCACCCGTATTTATCGCTAAAACGAAGGTTTTGGGTTGGGTGACGATTTTCTTTTGTGCAACCCGCCTCTTTTGGGTTGGGTTTGGATTTTGGATTACACAACCCGTAAAACCCGACCCAACCCGTGTTCCAACTATTAGTATGAGTTCGTATCTAAAAAATATTTATGTCGTATATAGCCATACTTATGTGAAAATTAAGATATTTCGCCATGTTTTTCTATCATGGTCTCCCTAATCTAATGCATTCTTCGACTTAAAGTTTAGACATAAATTGAATATAATTATGATTCACGTAATCATTTTTGTTGTATACAATTTTAATAGAATAACATATTATGGATGCATTTGTTTATAACCTTTTTAGCCTATTTCAACAAATATCGTGAAAAAAACTAGGCATATGTTGAAGTAAATCACATTTTATTAAAACTCAAACAACATTTGTGAATTTTGATACATTTCACATCGGTTTATTTGTTTGAAATTTTAATTAGTTATAAAATATTTTTATGGTGTATAATAATTATATATTTTATGTTGGGTTGGGTTATTACTTAAAAATATCGCCAACCCGACCCAACCCAATTAGAAACAAACCGTAGGGTTTAAATTTTTTTGGGTGGGTTTGGGTTTGACAATTCCCAAACCGTAGTGTATGGGTCGGGTGATTAAAATACTTAAACCCGAACCAACCGACCCATGTACACCCCTAGTTGTTGGGAGGTCGCATTTCTTTATTGCTTAATCTGGTCAGCCAGATTTGGCCCCACATCTTGGAACTTTGAGAGTCGGTAGAAGCCTCAGATAGCCATTTTTCTTTGCAAATGCTCGTTCAGCAGAACTTAGTTCCTATACTACTTCACTTTGAAGCTCTTAAGTTATGATCACATAAGGCCTGGAATTTATTATCTGTTGTAACATGTTACAGGAGCTTAAAGATGTTGTCCGTTATATTCCGGAGGTTGTAGAATTGATTGACAGTTTAGACACAAGCCAGCTACTGCATATCAATGATCAAGTGGAGGTTGAAAAAGTGAAATCAATACTGAGATCTATTTTCACCCAACTGATGTCAGCTAGCAAGGAGATGACAACTGAAGCAGTATCCAAGTTGAAGATCAGATTGCAGATGCAGAGCCAGGTCTGTTGCAATCTCTTGTCCAAAAAGAAACAAACTAGGGAGTTTTGCCTAAACGATACCCGTCTTTATCCATCCTACTCTGAAATTGATGATGAGTCAAATATTATCCCTAGTTGTTTGCATCCTTCTAACCACTGAACTGTAACAGGTGCGGCGGTTGACTGATAAAGAAAACCTGGTCTTGAAATTGGAGAAGCAATATCCAGGCGACATTGGTGTCATATCAGCCTTCTTTCTCAATCACGTCAAGCTTAATCCTGGTGAAGCTTTGTATCTTGGTGCAAATGAACCACACGCCTATATCTCTGGTGAGTGCATTGAAGTAATGGCAACATCAGATAATGTCGTGAGGGCTGGCCTTACTCCCAAGCATCGGGATGTCCAAACTCTTTGCTCTATGCTCACCTACAAACTGGTAATAACATTAATGCTATTGACCATCGATTAGTCCAACACTCCAACTCAACAATGTTTACTCCTTCTGAAATGTGAATGATATTAACTGATTGGCGTTTCTGATCTGTCAAATTCAGGGGTTCCCAGAAATCCTGAAAGGGTTTCCAGTGAGTCCATACATCACAAGATACCTACCTCCATTTGATGAATTTGAGATGGACCGTTGCTTCCTCCCAAAAGGTGCATCCACTGTATTTCCAGCTGTGGAGGGACCCTCAATTTTCGTCGTAATAGGTGGAGAGGGAGCAATGCAGGCAGGGTCGACTTCGACTAGAGATGTAGTGATGGAGGGTGATGTCATATTTGCCCCTGCAGGTACCCAGATCAACGTGAAGACGGTATCGGAGTTGCATCTGTATAGGGCCGGAGTAAATAGTAGATTCCTCCAAACACTCTGAAAGTTTCGTGGTGGGGTGAATTCAGCACAGACGATACACAGCAAAGTTAACTTCCAGTTCTTTTTCTTTTCAAGGTGAAAGAGTAGAGTTTTATGTAGTGGTTAATTTTGGCTTTCCCCAATGGACTACAGGCGGAGCCTTATACCTTTTAGTTACCATGTACTATAATAGATGCTAGCGTATGTAAATGCAGTGAAAAGGTATAGCAAAAGTTCTAGTGGCAAGGAAATTCAATACCGGTTTGATCCTTTGTGCTATGTCAAGTCTTCCATTCCTTTATAATAACCAGTTCGTTGCAGAAATGCCTAACAAAGCATATTGAGTTGTTCAATCACCTCGCGTAAGCTTGTATCGTGGTCAAATGATGGCAAAGGTTCACGGTTGCGTTTCATGAAAAGTTCAACAGTCATTACTTCCGGGGCAAGTAAACCTAAACTAATCCTGAGATGGAAGTCAATGTTAAAGAAAAGGTCTAGTTGGTTGGTACAAGTTCAGACGCAAATCAGCTCATTGTAATATGATAATTCATTCCAGGTCGCTTTTCCTCTTTTACCCAAATAAGCAACCTTTCATGGGGAAAACGTCCCAATACAATACAATACAATACAATACACTACACTACACTACACTACAATACAATACAATACAATACAATACAATACAATACAATACAATAGAAAGAAAAAGAAAAAAAAGCTCTAGCTATCAGCCTGGGAAGAAGGAAGTTCCATTTGGAAGTCATTGGCATTCAGCAGGAGTCGATGGCTTCAGCCTTCAGTTTCGCGCATTTAACCATGATAGAATAACTCTGGCACCTTTGTCCCATTCGCAATCCAACATCATATCATGGGCAACACCTTCGACTCGGGCTGGTGACACGCCATAGAAGCTTGCTGTTTCATTGAGTCCTTGACCATCCTAAAAGAAGTTCAATTCTGGATGATAAGCATACTGCCACTATAGGGCAAAAGAGGCGGGGAAGGAGAGCACAAACACAAGGAATCACGAAGTCACAAGGAAAAGGCAATGGTGGTGGTATGATGGCAATATTTAAGTATTTATTATTTACCACTATGAAGTCACCACTAGCACCCAAGACAAGGACATTTGCAGAAGAAGACTTTTCTGGGGGTGCAGGAACAGGGAGTGACGCGTTTAACTTCCTCAGATCAAACAGTGGCATCTGTGAACTTTCCTTCAGTAGCTCTTGGTATCTGCAAGATGCAAGGAAACCACTTTAGACATTGCTGATTACAAGATCAAATACCAGAAACCCTTTTCCTGCTGTATTTTCATCTTGATAAGGAAGAGCAATTCTGCATTCTACAGACATGAGTCTAACTGAAAGAACACAGATTTTCAAAAGCATTAGAGCATATGCAGTCAAAGTAAGAGCCTCCACAGACGAGGCAGGAGTCCCATTAGTGCTGATGTATGCTGAAAAATGGAGAATCCACAAACAGTGTGTTCAAGTTTCAATGAAATTCCAGAGAGGGGATGTAGGAAACCCGACTCCGGGCTAGAGAGAGAGGGGGCCGGTCGGCCAATAGGGGGAGGGAAGGAGTGGCAAACTTGTTATTTTGGGTTATTTCGGTTTACACTATTTAAGGACGCATTTCATTAGTTTTGGGAATTAAGCAATAATAAACAAGAACTATCAAATCCCTAATCTCTATTCTCTCTCTTGTTCTTCCCCAATTCTCCAAATCCCTAATTTCTGCTCTTCTCAATCCCTAAAATCCCAATTGGGAATTCTTGTGTTCTACATCTGGTATCAGAGCCCCGATCTTCGATGAGTTCTGCCAAACTCTCGGACCTGTCATGGGCAGATTTGAGAAACCGGGCACGCAACATCGGGCGAAGGTGGCTGCCCGCCAACCAAGAGGCCGCGCGCATCGACCCGACGGCCCCCGCCGCCGTGCGCCTGCCCCCGCCGGCCTCCCCAGCGCCGCGCGCCGCCGCCCCAACCGCGTCGCCGGCCTGCTCCTCGCCGAGCGCCGCCGCCGCGCCCCCGACGCCCCGACCAGCGGCGTCTGCCGCGACCACCCCCGTCGCGCGAGGCGCGCCCCAACCCTGCCTCTCGCTGCACTCGATGGCAGGCTGGGCCTCCCCGGGAACTCTCCGTTTCCGCGCACGAATCGAGGATCGTTTGGCCATCACTCTGGTCGACAGTGGCGCGTCCTTGAACTTTGTAGGCGAGGAATTCGCCAAGCAACTGCAACAGGTGGCCGAGGCCACTGATTCCATGGTGGTGAAGGTGGCGAATGGCTCTACACTGAGCTGTGGAGGAGTACTACGAGGTATATCTTTGGAAATTCAGGGTCTGCCTATATGCACTGATCTGTATATACTGCCAATCAAGGGATTCGACATTATTTTGGGGATTCCATGGCTACAGAGCTTGGGTCCTGTGACTAGTGATTGGCGTAGGTTGACCATGCGTTTCAAATGGAGGGATAAGGATTGGCAGCTGCAGGGCCTCACTACCGTGGCTGGTCCGATCGCGATTGAGGACTGTGGTCCGGAGGGCGAGGCCGAATTGGCCATTCTGTGTTGGCCGATCGAGGAAGGGGCGCCGCCGGTGCTCCATCCGGAGCTCCAGGAGCTGCTGGGCCATTACTCGGATTTATTCGAGACTCCCACTGTCTTACCTCCTCACCGACTGGTTGATCATCAGATTCAGTTGAAAGAGGGAGTGGAGGCGGTGAATGTGAGACCGTACAGATATGGGCATTCGCAGAAGGAGGAGATTGAGCGACAGGTCTCTGAGATGCTGCTCACGGGCTTGATCAGACCGAGCACTAGCCCATTTTCGTCGCCTGTTTTGTTAGTGAGGAAGAAGGATGGGACCTGGCGCTTCTGCACAGATTATCGGGCTTTGAATGCAGCTACAGTGAAGGATCGCTTCCCCATTCCGACAGTTGATGATATGTTGGATGAGCTTCATGGATCCCGCTATTTCTCAAAGCTGGATCTGCGGGCAGGTTATCACCAGATCCGGATGCAGGAGGAGGATGTCCATAAGACGGCGTTTCGCACTCATAACGGGCACTATGAGTACTTGGTGATGCCATTCGGATTGTGCAATGCGCCGTCCACCTTCCAGGCAGCCATGAATGAGATTTTTCGGCCCCTACTGCGCCGGTATGTCCTGGTTTTCTTCGATGATATCCTGATTTACAGCCCTTCTTGGGCAGATCATTTGGCTCACTTGCAGGCAGTATTCGAGGTTCTACGGGCAAATCAGTACTATATCAAGGCATCCAAGTGCGAGTTCGGGGTGCAGGAGGTGGAGTATTTGGGTCACATGGTGACTCCGCAGGGTGTGAAGGTGAACCAGACCAAAATTCAGGCCATGGTAGACTGGCCGGTTCCCACGACGGTGACTGAGTTGCGTGGTTTTCTGGGTCTGACCGGGTATTACCGGAAGTTTGTGCAGGGGTACAGCATGATCGTCCGGCCATTGACGGACTTACTGAAGAAAGGGGGGTTTGTCTGGTCACCAGCAGCGGAGGCTGCATTTCAGCGGCTGAAGCAGGCTATGACGACCACTCCGACTCTAGCCATGCCGGATTTCTCCAAGCCATTTGTGATCGAGGCGGATGCATCGGGCCGGGGAATAGGGGCGGTGTTATCTCAGGACCGCCATCCCATTGCCTTCATGAGCAAGACGCTAGCCCCCTCCAAGGAGGCTTGGTCTACGTATAAGAAGGAGATGCAGGCGATTATTACTGCAGTGCAGACCTGGCGGCCATATCTCCTGGGGCAGAAGTTTCACATCTACACCGATCATCAGAGCTTGAAGCACCTCCTCGAGCAGCGGGTGTCTACTCCGGATCAGCACAAGTGGGTATCGAAGCTGCTAGGCTACGATTATGAGATTCACTATCGACCGGGGCCCACTAATGTGGTGGCGGATGGGCTGTCGAGGAAGCCGGGCAGCGAGATCCTCGCTGCAGTGACAGGGCCTGTTCCGCAGTTTTGGGATGAGTTACGGGCATCCATGGAGACCAGTCAGTACTTGCAGGAGTGCCGGGAAATCGCAGTGAGCGATAACCCGGGTCATTATTTATTTCGGCAGGGGCTGGTGACGTTCAAGGGTCGAGTAGTTCTTCCTCCTGGCTCGAACCTGGTCACTTCGGTACTTCAGGAGTTCCATGACTCTCCGTTGGGAGGGCATTCCGGCGCTGAGAGGACGCTTCGCAGGATTAAGGGCCATTTCTACTGGCCCAGGATGGCACAGGCAGTGCGAGACTATGTGGAGTCATGCGATACATGCCAGAGAGTGAAGTTGTCTTACCTGCGACCCGCCGGCCTTCTACAGCCGATGCCGGTCCCGGAACGGGTATGGGAAGACATCAGCATGGACTTCATAGTGGGGTTGCCTCCTTCGGGTGGGAAGACGGTTTTGTTCGTAGTAGTGGATCGGCTCACGAAGTATGCTCATTTTATGCCCTTGGCACACCCGTACACGGCGAAGATGGTGGCCGAGCAGTTTGTCCTGGGAGTGGTGCGCCATCATGGATTCCCCAGGTCTATTGTCAGTGATCGCGACCCGGTTTTCTTGAGCAGGTTTTGGCAGGAGGTTTTCGCCATGGCACGGACTGTACTACGCATGAGCTCGGCATACCATCCGCAGACTGATGGACAGACGGAGATAGTTAACAAGTACCTGGAGCAGTATCTCAGGTGCTTTACCCACCAGCAGCCGCGGCAGTGGCTGGCTATGCTCCCTTGGGCAGAATTGTGGTATAACACCACATTTCACAGGTCTATTAAGATGACTCCGTTCGAGGCGCTGTATGGGAGATCACCCCCGACGTTGGTACAGTACAGAGGCGGGTCGAGCTCCGTGGATGCGGTGGACAAGTGGTTGAGCGCGCGAGATGAAGCTCTGGAGCAGTTGAGGACTAATTTGGCTGCAGCGTCCAACAGGATGAAGCAGGCCGAGGATGCAGGGCGGCGGGAAGAGGAGTTTGAGGTGGGAGACTGGGTTCTGTTGAGGTTGCACCCCTACCGGCAGTCCTCGGTTTTCAGGCGGGCATACCAGAAGCTGGCAGCTAGGTACTTCGGGCCGTACGAGATCATCCACAAGGTTAACCCAGTTGCTTATCGCCTACAGCTGCCTGCAGGTTCGCGCATACACCCGGTGTTCCACATTTCCTTGCTGAAGAAGTACCGGGGCCAGGCGGACAGGGTGACGTCGACGGCTCCTCCGGTAACCGCAGATTGTGACTTGGAGCTCGTTCCTCTCAAGGTACTAGAGACCCGGTGGACAAAGAGAGGAGGGCGGCTGGTGGAGGAGAGCTTGGTGCAGTGGAAGCATGTGGAACCGGACGATGCTACTTGGGAGGAGTCAGAGGTGCTGCGTCAGAGATTCCCGGCTTTCGACATCGAGGCCGATGTCGATTCTGAAGGAGGGGATGTAGGAAACCCGACTCCGGGCTAGAGAGAGAGGGGGCCGGTCGGCCAATAGGGGGAGGGAAGGAGTGGCAAACTTGTTATTTTGGGTTATTTCGGTTTACACTATTTAAGGACGCATTTCATTAGTTTTGGGAATTAAGCAATAATAAACAAGAACTATCAAATCCCTAATCTCTATTCTCTCTCTTGTTCTTCCCCAATTCTCCAAATCCCTAATTTCTGCTCTTCTCAATCCCTAAAATCCCAATTGGGAATTCTTGTGTTCTACAGGGGATCACTGTATAAGGAATTTTTTGATAAGTTCATATCTTCTGCTAACATAAGTTGGGTTGACATCATCTTCAAAGATCTTTGTGCTTTGTCATAATTATCAGACTGATTCTCCAGAGTAAGTCTGAGATGAGAAGGATTGACTCAATCTTCGAGTCACAACTCAAATATATATGAGTCCAATTTTGCGTCACAGGAGCCTTATACCAGTACAATATCAGCAAAGATCAACAATCGGAGGGCTACTTTTAGCTAAATGGAAATGCTTCCGCCCAAAGTGAAATCCAAAAACATGCTGTACTAGTGAAGACAGAGAAAGAAACACTCATAACAGTGGATAGAGTGACCAACAAGTTACCGTTTCACTATGTTGTCTTCCATCATTGGTGAGAAAAATGTCTCCTTACAAAGAGAAAGATCAGTTTGAAAAGCTTTAGCTGCTAAGCTGCGGGTCACCTGCACCACAAAAATTGATATGGTGAAATGGCTCAAAGGAGCTGGGGCCAGTTCTGAAAGAAACACGCAGCTAAGATTTCAGCCGAGAATAAGAACTTCAAATTTTGGCAAGCAAGAAAGTGAATTCAACATTTATCTAAAAGAAGAAAATGACCATTCAAAGGAGTATCTTGTGGGCAGACTACAACAAGCACTGTATTGACAGACTAGCCAGATAGGATATATGAGTGTGCTTTTTCTTACAGAAAACTAATCTTAGAAACTGAGAAAACAAAGCTTTTGTGAATGATGAGTTGTAAGTTGTAGAGTAAACATAACCATATATTTCTCAGTCTGCCCCAAAACTGAATGCTTGGATAATCTGGCATTATGATCTACTTAACTAAAGCCCAACAGTAAGTAAGTACCTTAAAAGCGGCAAGAGGTTTGGAAAAGAGATACCGCCATACCAACCCACTGAAATAGTTAAAAAGAGACAAGCAATAAGAAAAGGCCTCGGCATTTGAGTTACTTATAGTCACATAGAGAAGAACAGATTGATTAATTAGCCTATGAAAAAAGTAAACCCATATTTCCTACCTATTACCAGAAGGCGGCACAGAGCATATGAGGACCGCCCCAGCAAGTTGAGGATACAACTGCTTCGTATCTAGTATACAAACCCAGAGAGTAAGATAACAGGTTAGCACAAGAGAACACCCCAAATATACATATCATATAAAAAATAATAACAAGATATCTAAGGCATTGCATCTCGTGGCTGGTCCTTCAGAGAAGCAAGCACACTGAAGGAAACTTGAACAAAAGAAACATCCATCTGACTAAACACTGCCAATTCACGGTTCAGTCTAAGAATCCAGGGAAATGCTTCAGTATCTCCCCTAGACAAAAGGAAGATTCCCAGCAAAGAATGAAGGGTTACCTGAAGATTTTCCAATCCTGGTATTAGCAAGGTAGTACTGAATAATTAGGCCACCGAATGAATGCCCAAGAATGACTGGTGGCACCTTGATATTTTTCTGGATGAAGTCAGCTACATCACCGGCGTGTGTCTACTGCAAAATTTGGAAGGTGGAAGCCGCACAACTGAGGGCATTGGAGTCATGCAATGAAGCACTGAACAAAGCCAAAAGGGGCACTCTTGAAAATGCCCTACTCGTCTTCAACAAAGAACACTAAAATTACCTGCAGAGTACCGGCAACAGACCCACCAGGTGCATCACTCTCGCCCTGCAAAATCCAAGTAATCAGCTAAGGCTCGAGCAAACAATTCGCAGCGTTGAAGGAAAATCAACCGCACGAACTTACTTTAAGATTATCACAACTGCGGCAAAAATTGTGATTGTTGACTCACCTGACCCAGGAGGCTAAGGGCGTAGCAGTCGAAGCCAGATGATGCAAAGAAGGGCAACCAATGCTCAGCCCAGCACCAGGCTGCGTGGTAGCTTCCGTGAACAAATACCAGAGGTGGGTTTTCGATTTGAGCTCCATTGCTGTCATTATCATCTGTTCCGAAGCTCCTTTTTTGCTCAATCACCTCCAAGTTGAGTCCGGAAGGGAGCTGGTGGAAAACCCGGCTCTGTCCTCGCTGCAGTTCGTAAGGGACCAGCATTCGTTGCTGGATGTCGGTCTTGTTGTTGAGAACAGCTTGTGGCCTGGTGGGCGCTCTTCTTGCGCGGGGTAAGATAAATTCGGCTGGAAATTGGAATAGAGCAACCAGCGAAGCTGCCGCCATTGCTGCGTCGAAGCTTCAAAGACGATAAGTTCTTCTACGCTCCTCTCAGCGTTATTCACCCTATTTTGTAGGGGAAAGTTAATCCGCTAAAAGATTCGTTAGTATACTAACTTATATTCAAAAAAATACGTGAGCTAGTATTCAAGTACAAAAGTATTTAGAGAGCACTGTAGGTATGGTAATCAAATCCATGGCCGCGGGTATCCGACCGCTCCCGACCCAGTCAACGCGGGGAATCCCCGCTTTGACCGGGTATGGGGCGGGTATGGGTAAAACCCGCAAAAAGTTTGATGGGTATGGGGCGGGTATGGTTTTAGCCTCCCCGCCCCATACCGATACCCATACCCGCCCCACCAAGAGAATTTCTTCACATATAAAAAAATATGTGGATTAAATTGTAATCTATCAATGATGATGATGATAACTCGAGAAAATAAATAGTAGAAATGCAATTGAGTAACCACCTTAATCAAAACCTAATTCATTCCCCTCAATTCTCCTTCCACTCTTTCACTTTTCCTCTTGTCAACAAGATTATGTTAGTTAATTATTACTTAGTAGATGTATCAAGAGTTAGAGCATAATAATTTAAAAAATATTGTAGTCTATATTATGTATTAATGGATGTTTTAGGATCATATTCTTTGAATCGTATTTAGAAAATGACCGTGTTTTGTTGACTTCATGTATAATAGGTTTGTTTATGGTTATAATTAAAACTTTTCTTGTAAGTTTTAGGTATAATCATGTTGGATGTACGGGGATGGGTTTGCAAAACATTCCCCGCATGGGTATGGGGCGGGTATGAGTTTGGGTATTTGAAGATGGGGATGGGGATGGTTTAGGCAAACCCGCCCCAAACCCGCCCCATTGCCATCCCATTGCTCTGAGCAGAGACTAGTATTCAAAGTTTGTTAACTGATATTTACCATGAATCAACTATTGTCCCAAATTCACAAACTAATATATAGACAACACATAATAGTATCTATACAACACATAATTAGTATTCAGATAACTCATAAGAGTATCCATATTGAATACTAGTTGGTTGATTGTGGATATTAGTTGGTATCTGCTATCTGGATACTAGTTTGTGATGTTTTGAATACTAGTCTGTGCTATCTAGATACTCACTAGACTTGAATATTAGTTCATACATTTTGGATATTAATTAGTATATACTAACAAATCTTCAAGTTAGCAGAATAACTAGGCTGAAGGTTAAGGGGTCGTTTGCTTGTTGGATTTGGATCATGGATTTGGTATCTAAATCCCAAGTTTGATGGATTTAACACAAGTCCATTGTTTGTTGATGGGTGTCAAATCCGTGGGGTCCACGGATTTGGTCTTTAATTTGGGACCAAATCCGTGGACCCCACAGACTTGTAAATCCCACATATTTATTTGGGATTTGTAAATCCATGATGGTTGTTAGTTGCTTATGTGACAAATTCATCATAAATCCATTATCAATTCTATCATGCAAACACTAGACTTTTCAAATCCATAATACAATAATTTCCTCATGAATCCCAAGGTTTTTGTTGCACAAAATCTTCATTTTTCAAATCCAACAAGCAAACGACCCCTAACTCTCAAAACGACAACACTCAACTAAAGTTTACCTAATAGAGCAATTGAGTGCTTATTATCCAACACCCAGCCCATCAAAAATCCTATGGGCCCAACATCAATTTTTTTAGTAACATAGCATTTTTCTAACATCATTTCCCCCTAACATAGATAGCATCTGTCAATAAAGATAGCTCACAATACATTGCTCGTCCACAAATAGTCAAACTATTAATAAAAGAGCGTTTTATGCCCCTAAATGTACTGTCTTATTACCCTCGTTGACTGAATTGGGTCGAGTACCCGTAAGTTCGGGTTTTGTTGCCATCCCTAATCGAACTTCCTTCAAAAAGACATCTCTAGACCGTCATGCACCCTACAAGCCGGCCAGCATATATGCATTTAAATTTAATTAATAACTAAACTTAGTTAGCAGTATTTATGACTTGCTGTCAAACTACTACCTGCACACAGGCCGTATGCTACCTGCTTATAAAGTCTGCTGTCTCTCCTTATATCTACATCCTAACCATCTCTCCAACAAATCAACCACACCACAGGTGTTAGCTTTCATCAAAGGAAAAACAAAGTTTGAAGCTTAAATCATCTATTCACCTGCCACCCAGTACTTCCAAGAAAGTTCCATGGCAGAGTTCAATACACAACATTGGCAGAACAAAGCTTCTCATGATCATCCGTCGTCTTTCGTGGGAATGGGGAGCAGCATTAATAGCATTCAAATAGCTCCTCCAGGACTTGTAACAATGGATAACAAATCTGGTAGTGTTTCTTCTCATGATCATCACTTCCCATTATCATTTCCAGACTACTCTTTCTTTGCCCTCCACCATCATTACGGTCCACAAGCTTTGGCTTCAACCCCAGCTGTTGAGACACCTTCTGTTGTTGCTGCTGCTGCTGCTGCTGCTGGTATCACTCCATCTTCTTCCATTAACGTGGACGAGAAGAGGGTGAGTTACATTTTTTTATAATCTATTTACTTCAAACATTTTGATATGTTCATCAACAATGATCATACTAATTAGCAGAGTCATGATGTGCTTGGTATAATGTGTGTCAGTGTTCGTCTGTCCGGAGAAGCAGGAAGAAGGCGTCGGATAATGATGAAGTTGTTCATGTTAGAGCGAGGAAAGGCCAAGCTACTGATAGCCACAGTGCTGCTGAGAGGGTCAGTAATGGATGGTTCTGTGTGTATATATGTGAGTAAGGCAATCAAGAAGTATTGAGCATGAATCATACTGTTTCAGGTTAGAAGAGAGAAAATAAACAAGAAGTTGAGATGTTTGCAAGAGCTTGTTCCTGGATGTCACAAGGTATAATTTCCCCCCTGCTTCATCTGAATGTATATGTTCATATATGGAATATTTACCTCAGACTTACAGTTTAAGTAATTTGATGATTTGCAGTCAATGGGGATGGCAGTAATGCTAGAAGAGATCATCAACTATGTATGTTCTCTGCAGAATCAAGTTGAGGTAGTAGCTAGAAGTAGCAAACAAACATCTTGTTTAATGTGTTATTGAATGATGTACTGATTTGAACTTCCCTTTGCTTTTCTTTTGCTGGCAGTTCCTCTCAATGGAACTAGCAGCTGCTGCTGCAGCAGCAAATAGTGTCAACTTGGAAACACAGCCATCCAGATCAATACCAAGGGCTTCTCTTCAGGTTTACTTATGGAAGCTTGCCTCTTTTTATTTTTTCATGTGAAAGGGAAAGACAAAAGGGGAAGGCAAAGTACTGATCAGTTGACATTTTGGCTGAAAAAATTGATACTGCAGGGGGGAAATTTAGCTGGGAGAGAAAACTATGGAGATGCAACTGCTAGTACAGCATGGTCAATCTGAACTGTGACAGCATATTATGCCAAAAACAAATGTAGCCAGGAAGCAAATTCTACAGCCAGTGAGGGTACATGAAAACAAGCCCACATGAACATTTTGCCTTCTTGTCCAGTTCATGCATTTGCCCACCAGAAAAAGGAAATATCCCACAGGTGTCCCTATTTATGTAACATTAACACTAGAATCAAAAGAGTCCACCCTACAACCAGCAGAAGAAAAAAAAGAGATCAACCATTTGTTATGGATTTTTTGTGGGGTTCTGTTGTATTTGTCCATTTCATTCTGAATTCAGTGGTACCTGGTTATCCTTCTGTCTTTTGAGTCTTACATTTGTTGTTTTGTCGTTGTTTGTGCTTGACTATGGTGTGACATTTTTGGGCTCCCTGGATGCGCCAACATGTCGGATAGAACAGTTGGTTTCACTGACTCAGGAGATAGCTCATTAATGGATGAGTAATCGTTCATGTATCCATAGCAGTATACAGGAGGTAAATTCTGGAGCACAATCTCATCAATGGTCTCAGTAATCAGTATGTAGGATAACAAGAAGACTGAATCTAGAGCTCCCTTGTGGCGCAGAAGTGTTGGAATCGACATAAGTGGCCAAATCCCCAAGTGGGATATAACAAAACCTTCAATCGCTCACCAACAGACATGTGAACACCAAAAGTGAACAAAAACATTGTCAAGGATTCCCCTCCTCCCGGCACAAGTTGGAGGTTGCAGATCACTTTGTAACTAAATCCCACTTCTGGAATCAAATTAATGGTTGAAATTGAATGATTTCTTCAAACAAGTACATTGATGACTTTTGGGAATGAAACTAAATTAAATTGCTCTTACTCTCATGGAGGTTTAGCGAGAGTTCCAAATTACGACTATTCACATTTGCAGAGAAAATACAAAATTTGACATATGCGTCAATTGTGTGGTTTTGGAAACCATTGTCTCTTTCAACCCCTCATCCTATATATAGCATTGGGGAGATACCTGCTTTCTCGGGGTGTGGTGGTTATTCATTCAACCGCCTAGGTGCGTCTCTTGGTACTGTCGTGGGTCTTGAAGTGTAGCTTGTCTCGCCTGGTCTTGTTCCAAATCTCGTGTCATGCTAATCTTTTGATTAGCCAGTGGTGTCTCAAAAAATGGGGCCATGGTCGCCTTGACTCTCAACTATGGACTTCTTACTCATGTCCATGGTCCTCTTGTGACTTTGCCGCATGACTAGTGATATCATGATTCACCACCACACCCTTCTCACTTGTGCCCATGGTCCCTCTCACCGGACGGGCATGGGCTTCTAAATCATTGCCCATGGCCCCTCTCGCGAGACGGCCATGGTCTTCCCAAACTTAGTATATTTTATGACATTCGGTCTTGGTCATGAGGCTTGATCTCATGGCATGACCTCTTCATTCACGGTCTTGGAACTCTTACTTCTGTCCATGGCCCTTCTTGTGAGACGACATATGATCTTCTCATAATTAATATTTTTAAATCGTGCCAAAGCCTCTTGTCTCGCGTCCATGACCCTTCTCGTGAGACGACATGAACCTCTCAAACTCTTTCTTTGATATATGTTTCTCCTGGCATGACCTCTTCATTCGCAGCCAAGCCATGTACTTATTTTGTGGCCATGGTCATGAATGGTGGCCGAGAATTCTTTCCCACGTCTATGGTCCCTCTTGTTGAGACGACAAAGACTTCTAGACAGACATGTTCCTTCTCGTGAGGCTGCATGGACCTCTAGATGACCATTGCCCTTCCAAACTTAATTTTTTTATATAGGACCTGAGGATCATGTTTTATTAATCTTGTGGCATGGCATGGCCTCTTGCGAGAGACTCATGCCCCTCATTGAATCATGTCCATGCTCACTATGACTTAGTGACGGGTTTAAGAGCCAAATCCATGAGGCTTAACTTAGATAACATTAATTATTTTAATTGACGTGGCTTTATAAAATTCTTAATTATCTTGTAACTTATCAATGTGGTAAAAGATAACTTTTTAGGTGTAAACATTTGTTAACACCACACATTTATATGCCCATGTGATGGATAATACTAATTGTCACGATTGTTTCTCTGCGGATCGGGAAATTGGAGAATTCGACAATTCAAGAAAACGAAAAATGGACACACACGACACACGATTTACGTGGTTCACTAACACAATGTGTGTTAGCTAGCCCACAGGCAGGAGAGAGCATGTTTCACTAATTCACTATACTTCGAGGAGGTACATATTACAGAGGAGTATGAGAAGTATTTATATTACTTCCGCTAGGTCTAACCCTAATCCAATATGGTAAATGAAAGAGTTACAAACCAGACCCAGAACACGAACTCAAATAACATTGAGCTCATACACCGCGGGCTGAGTTGCCCCTGCACCCCACTCGCTGACCGGCCAGCGAGATCCCCGTGACTTCCAGTCGTAGCGGCTGATAGTCCGATTCAAGTCACATCAACACTAATATTGATAGAAACTCTCACATAATGATTCGGTAAGGGAATGAGTAAGTACCATACATATTATGGTTTATGACATGGTATTAGAGGTCTCCCAACAATTTGAGTTATTGAGACTTGTTGGTTTATAACATGGTATTAGAGCTGGTTTGTACTTGAGGTCACATGTTCAAGTTCTCACGGTCCCCAGTATTAAATGTTCTCTTCAAAGCTCGTGGTATGTCGAGCATGTGCAAATTTCAAGCTCATGAGTTGGCTTTCATTTGAATGGGCGTGTGAGGAAGTGGTTAAGTATCATACATAAACCTCTCTCAGCAACTAAAATTATTGGAACAAGTTGGTTTATGAGAAATTCTTTTATTTTTTATTTTTGAAGGATTAATCTCTACATAACATTTTAATACATCTTCAAAAATCAATTATTGTTATGTGCAACCTTTTTTACTCTAAGTAAATGACTGGATGAGTTATTTGAATGAATTATTTTCCTCAAATGTTGTAATCGATTTGTGAGTTAATTGAAATAACTCAAAATGAGTTTGTTCAAATAAAAAGAATACCTTAAATATAAGTATTTTAATACAACTCATCTTGCTAACCATTTCTCTTTCCTTTTTGTTGTGAAATAACACAATCAATTAACTCATGTAAATTCCAAATAATTTTAAAAAATTATTACAATTAGAAACAATACATAACTTAATCTCAAAATACTACATATACAAAATAACTTATCCAAATGGTTCACGAGAAAAAAGAAAGGAAAGACCACAAATACATTGCACCAAAAAAGACATGAGATGGAGAGGACAGATTGAAATGGGCCATATAATGTCCACAACAAGATGGGAGCATTATGGGTTAGGCTTATTTTGGTTTATCAAATCAATTAAATAACCACAATATGTTCATCAATGAAAGTTGACCAATGTATCTAAAAAAAACTATGGTTTATTAAATTAATTAAATAACCAAAATATGATTAACTAATCAATTATTTGGGCTATTCCTCTTCTTCTCTTTTGACTCAAAATTTCTTCTCTTTTGCCTATTTATGTTGGGTTGGATCGGGTCATGGGTGCATGCATCCTAAGGATATCTGTGTTCGCATGCTAGCCAATCAAATCAATAATGAGCTCCTCCCATCATGAATTTTTAGGGGGTATATCCCCAGTAGGCCAAGTGATGATTTATTTGCTGGTTTGACAAGGGTGAAGCTGGTTCAACAGTGTCAACAACAATCACAGGAGCTGCCAAGGGGAAACTTCCAAAATTGAAGGAGATGGGGAATTTGTGTTTAGTAGCTTGTTGTTTTTAGGACCTACTTTGGCGACTGTTTATGTTAACTAATCACTGACACTAGTGATGGCAATGGGAGGGGCGGGTAACTCAATACTCATGTCCCACTGCATGTTATTGTGGGTCGGGGTTCGGGGGTGGTCATCGGTCCGGTCCGATCCAAACTCAGGAGAACCGCGGTCCAATAGTGAAAGATATTTTAGGACCAAGGTCCGGAACAATAGTGTATTCGGTCCATTTGGTCCGTTTTGGTCGGTCCAAATGTCAATTCGGTCCATTTTTCTCTAGAATCTATGAAATTCATCGAACCAAGGACCGGACCATATTATATTCGATTCGGTGCGATTCGGTCCAAGCATCAATTCGGTCCGGTATGGACCAACCCATTGGCCACCCCTAGTCGAGGTAGGTAAAACCTACGCGGGTACGGGGTAGGGTGGGTCGGACCACTCTTACATGTTATTTGAAAAAATACACGTAAATTTTACTTTTTATGATAAAACGAATGAGAAAACACTTTATGAATGAAAAATAGTGATAATAGAATGGGTAAATGAGTCTAACAAGTTGAAGGATCGACTCTAACTAGTTGAAGAAAAGTCAAAATAGGAGGAATAATGTATAGATATTAGTTACTGTAAGAAATACCTGATATAGAATGTGTCAAGAACGGGGCGAGACGGGGTAGGGCGGGTTGAAAGTAGATAGTAGATACCCATGCTCCGCCCCATCGCAGGTCGGGTCGGATAATACCCGCGGGGCGGATTCAAATTGCCATCATCACTAACTGAGACAAAAAGGGATCGTTTGGAGAATATGAGTCTAAATATATAGATTGTAAACAATCTTTAGATTCTAACTCTTCGGATTGTTGAAAATATATTTGAAATTTTTATTGTTTGGTAACTGTGATTGTTAACATTCAACAAAAATAGAAATTATAATTTTATATTAAATAACATGTTTATCCTCTATTAAATTGTAGTGGTTAGAAAAATATTGAGAACTTTGTTGATAAATATATTTAATGTGATAAATAAAAAAAAGATAAAGTAGGAGGGAAAAAATCTCACGAATCAAGATATAGAATCTCTATGATTATGAGAGATTTGATATCCGTAGATTTTAGAGATTTGAAATCTCTAAAGCTATAATCTACCTTCCAAAAAACAAAAACAAAAAACATAACTTTAAATAAAATCTATGAATTCAGTAAATTCACGGTTTAAATCATTTTCTCCAAAGCACCAATATTTTTCTCTCTATGGGATGGGGGATGAAAATAATGAAGAGTCCGTCGAACGATATTGGGCCTTTGGGCTAAAATAATCTCTTTGAACTCTAACGATCCGATTGCTAGCCCAATCTTCTGAACGGCCCTATCGCTGATGAATTGAATGTACCAAAGAGAAAACAACCGTACGTAATAGCTGCTAAAGACCACGATTTGACCGCCGCATCATTTTCTTCCCGGAGGAGAAATCGCCATTGCTTTCCCCTGTTGAATACTCACCAAGCTCGGAACAATAGCTGAGGGCCTGAAGCCGAGGAAGAGGGAGAGAACGGAGGGAGGGAGCTTGTTCTTCATTTTCGCTTTGCAGCACCCAGTTTTTGAGCAAACACAAAATTTAGCGAGATCGATACCGTCATTTTTGGCGTCTCCGGCGGAGGGGAAGCGTAAAAGATGATGTCTCCAAAACCAATCGGCGACGATCGAGGCTCTGCCAATTTTAGGTGCGCCATTGCTCTGAACCTAACGTTTCAGTTTAGTTTCCGAGAAAATCAAGAAAGAAACTAGTGTCTGAATGATTGAATGAATTTTTTTTTGTAGTTGTAGTTCTTTCTCTGCTTAAATGTTAAAGAGGGTAGATTTCAATTGAGTCCTTTAGGTTGATGCATGCTGTTTTCTAGTCGAGGAAGATGCATGGTTGGATGAATAGTTCCTTGCTTCCATTTTTCTGCCTTCACTTCCATTTTCTCCCAGCGACCAGACAATGAAGTGCAAGGGATACAATCTGCAATGTAGGAAGCTGTAGTGGGATATCCGGTGTCAAAATGTGCTAGACTAAGCTTCGATTTGGTTTTCCCTTGTAATATTAGGAGCTTTTCCATTTCCTATTGTATAGCTTGAATGTTCTTATTTGCACATTTGGTTTGCGGAGTTATTCTTGGTTTAGGCTGGGTTTAACAAATATTATGAAGTTGATGAAGTTCTGTGGTAGAGAGAGTTTCATGATGAGCAGCCTTAGGGCGACTTATCCCTTTAGGTGCTCCAATTTTCATAAATAGGAGAAGGATGCACTTGAGGAACTCGTAGAAGCTCATTCTTAATAAGCTTCTTACAGTTTGGTCTTTAATCTTGAACTTGAAAAGGTATTCAGATGTGCTACCTTTGTGTAATATAACGTTCCATCTCCCCCCCCCCCCCCCATCTCGCTCTGCTGTAGGCACACTCCCTTGCAGATAATACACGTAATTGGCAACTTTTTGAGAATATGGTCGGTCTACTCCATGTACCGCTATTTGATTCAGACTGGATCATCTGTGGGTCTTTTCATATTTTGCTGTCTCCTTCCATCATCATTGTTGTTTCTGGCTATGCAAAAACCTTGGAAGGGAAGGCCTCTCTCTAATCAACAGGTTAGGATGAAACCTATATCTTTTTAGTCAAACCTGAAAGTTGAAAGATGTTTGTTGTCTAATCTGGTTTTTGTTCCTTTTTTTCAGGTTGTGCCTTCGATCATCAATGGTGTCATAACAGCTTTGTATTTCAGCATGTGGGGAAAGGGCCTCAAGTCATGTGGGCCAGTGCGGTAGGCTTTTGCATCTCAAACATTCTGAATGTGTCTTTAGAATTTTTCAACTGCTGTACATCCTTGAGTTAAATTTTATCTTTTATATCAACAATATATCTGGTCTGGTGGTTCTTGCAGTCTAAATTTCGTTTTGGTTTCAGAACCATCTTGGCAGAGTATGCAGGTGCTGTTCTTGGTGTATTGTCAGCAGCATTGTATGGACAGGGTAAACACTTATGGAAAAAGGTACTTCTCTATACCTTGGCTTTCTTGTGTTAGGAGTTTGAGAATGCTCAATTGTGACTCATCGAAGATAAAAGGCTTTGTAGATGCTAAAGAGTGGATTCATAGATCATTTTGTTCCTCTTGGGCAAACAAGGGGAAAACCTACTTGCTAATTGTACTTGTTTCAAGTATGCCATTTGGTTTCCGCTTTTCTACTTGTTCAAAATGATTAACTTAATTCCTTTTATTTTTTTCAAGATCACTTATGGTAAATCCAGTTATAGAGAGAAATTGAAAATAGTGGTTTGGAACTGCAGATCTGATTTCGGATGCAGGAAATCATTATTTTTCCAGTGTCGTTGTCCTTTACTTCTTACAGTGCTTTTATTACCGTTTCATTGAATGATTCTGGAGTGCCCTTGTGGATGACTTTCATGTTTTAGCAAAGCGAAAGACTGGAAAAGAGGAGGAAAATTTGGACTCATGCTTTGCTAATGATGACTGTTACCATCCTTTGTGGCTGCCAAATACTTGCCTAAGATAATTTGTCGGTAGTATCTTATTTTTCCATCTCTGATCACAAGATGGAAAATAAGTTACAAAACGTCATCTAGGATCGGAATAAGTTATGAGTCTAATGCATTCTGTTAACAAAGTGGAATAGGAAATAAGTTTGGTGCCCATCAATTTGATCTGTACTAGACATCATCGAGAATTTCTTGCTTTGTGAAACTATATTGAATGCATTACACTGAAGCTGTTAGGGAGCACCTTTTGTTCCTTTCCTAGCCAATGATTTTGTCAGATGTTTGTTTGTAGAAGTCACTGAATGATGAACAGGATCCAATCAATTCATGGTTTTGTAGATGATTGTTTGTAACTGTAATAATTCCTTTTCTGTCTATTAGGTTGGAGGACTTGTTGCAATGATGCTTTCTTTCTACTTGCTATCTCGAGGGTGGGCCATGGGCACACATTCACCTTTTGATATCCTTTTCTGCTCAAAGTGTTGTTGATATCTACGAGGTTTTTATTTGTTGTTAGATTTGGTTCAGTACAATACTTGACAGTACTTCTCTTATTATCAATTGGGTCACTCCTTTTTAGTAAGGATTTCCTGCAAGTGTGTCTTGTGAAGAAGTGTATTGTAGACTTAACTTGAAATTACGATCCAAAGAAAACCTTGATGCAGAAGCTCATCCAGAAGAAATCTTGGGTATGAAAGACATGATAGTTCCAATTATTGCTGGAATCTTATCAGCTTTAAGAAGGGTGATTGCACGACGTGTTTCACTCAAGGTGTCTCTTCATCTCCTTTCTTGCTGTTTGCTCTGCTATAGATAGCGACTTTTTTCTTAAATGAATGTCGTTGCTTACTTCAATAATTATTTATTTTCAGAATCAACTGAAAAGAAGGCTGCATGCTATAACCATCACCTCGGCAACATGTTTTCTTTTTCCCGTGGCTATGTGGGACTTCATCACAGTAAGTGATGATTCACAGATTTGGCAATTCTTAATCTTGAAAAGCATATTACTATGTGTCATGGTTAGACAAACACCAATATTTGTTTCGAATTTGGAGAGTTTACTTCATATTGGTCTCTAAATGTTGGGATTGATTGTGTAGTTCTCATTGGTTGTGTTCTTCTAACTGGAGCAATTCAGGGATCAACTTCTGATAGCACAAGTCAACTTCCATTTTCTGCTTGGGCATTTGGGAGCTTTATTCTTTTCGGAGTTATCTTGGTATTCTATGTAGACAGCATAGCAGAAGAAAGGTAGTGGATCATTATTTCATAATAACTATGCTCTTTTTCTTCCTCTCATTCTCTTCTCTGAATCCATCATCATGTATCGAGATTCTAGCCATCATCCACATTAGCTACTCTTATCATACAAGCTCGTCACAACTGTTTATGTTACTCTTTTGGATTTATTTTGCTGAGTATATTACTTCCTTTTTATGTTTTTGAATTCTCATTTTGTCTAAAGCCTTTTCCACCGGAAAAGTTTCTCAAGGTGGCTACTACTACCGGATCCTTTATTTCAGAATGACAAAGAATTAAGTGTACGCTTGCAGGCTGCATATGGTTTTCTCTTCTCCAAGGCACTTAATGGTGGCTGGAGGTTGTATGATCATCCTAGAGATTTTCTATCAGATGGACTTCTCTCTGCCGGGGTTCTTACTTTGCTGCATAATTCTGGGTTTTGGTAAGTATGCTGATTCTCTATCTATTTCTTTTCTTCTTTTTGGTAAGTGGATCTCTCTACTGTGTAGTGAGAAGAGTAGTAAATCAGAACAAAGAATGACAATAGAACAATGTTTGGTCATCATTATCAGAATTGTTCCAAATTACAGATTGAATCTTGTTAGGTAATATGGGTTTAGGAAGTTGATATCGGGCTTTGTAAAACACCAGAACCTTTTATCTCAACTGTTTCGATTTGCATGTATTCACTTTACTGGTTTCTAGGGATTGAATAATACCAAATACATATGCAATAACACTTTGAACTACATACTAAAGTAGCACCGACACAGGATCTCAGTGATGATGTGAAATCAATGAGACTATGAAAACTCCGAATGAAAAAAACGAGCTTGTTTGAGTGATTGCTGAAATGATGGCCTGAACTAAGGTTCATGTTTTCCTGTCCGTCTTGTTTGGTGAAGGGATCTACGAGGCAACAGCTTTGGAACGTGGTAAGAAGGGAACTCAACACTTCGATTCGCCAGAAGAAATGTTGGACGACATGAAGTCCCCTCTCCCAACTTGAACAACTCAGCTTCCTGAGTAGTTGTCCGTCTTAGAGAAGAACAACAGAATCGCCCTGAGCAAGCCGCCTTTCAGGGAACTGGAGATGAAAGATGTCTTCGCTGGGTCCTGCGGCAGGGGGCAAATGACCAAGGAAGGAAGGAGTTAGGTTAGAATCAGAATTTTTTTTGCTAACTCAATTCTGATAGTTCGCGAAACAGAGTTAAAAACTTGTATATAACTCATGTAAATCTGAGTTTGAAGAAAGTTAAAAACCCTTGAAAGTAGTTGTACTATTGGCCCTTATGTAGTAAAACACCAACTCTGCTTGCTTAAGTAGATCTAGTTTTACTTGCATTTACACATGAAATTCTATCAGTTCAGCTTTCAATTTTCTTTTATTGGTGGTTAGGGTAGGGTGTTTCTCTCCCTGTAATCTCATTCTCTGATTCTAACACCAATTGTGTGTTTTAACAGTTACTTAACTCTGTTACAAAACAATTATATTAGTTATATTTGATCCAATATCAACAAGTCGTTGTAGTATAGTGGTAAGTATTCCCGCCTGTCACGCGGGTGACCCGGGTTCGATCCCCGGCAACGGCGTTTTTTAATTTTGTTTCCCCAACGGCGGATAGGTCTTTAGTTTTGAGAGTGAAACCCAGGTTTAAAATGCAGAAAACACATCCTCTCATTATTACTTATGCGCGCGGAAAAGGAAATCAATAACCAAACTACAGATATATAGCTAGACGAAATGGGTACGTTAGTATTTTTGTTATTAGTTCGGTGGTAATTTCTCTGTGGTTTTGGCTCTGGCCATGGCGGCAATTAGTGCCTTGGTGACGAGGTGAGTGAGAATTCCGATGGGACAGGCAAGCAGGCACAGCGCAACCGAGTGTCGCGTCTCCACCCCGTTCTCCAGCCCGTCGCTGTACACTTTTCTGCATAAAAAACCAAACACAATTTCAGGCCATCGCCATTAGAACCACAAGAAAGAAACAAGGAGGAGAAGAGAGGAACACAATTGAAATGACTAGCATGACAGGAAATTGTGATTAATATGCTTATATTAAATATGAGATGACCTGGCAGCGAAGAGGTCGACGGCCACAAGATGAATCCACGCCGAAGTTAGTCTCATCTCGCTGGAAAACATCTTTGTTATGCCACCCAGCTGTGAAGTCAACAACACACCCGAACCATATTGACATTTTAAGTCAGAAACAATAAATGTTTATGATACAGTAGGATCTGTACGACGAAGTTGCCTCACGAATAGGGATGACGACGGATCGAATTGGGTTGGATTGTTCTAAATCTGAACTCAACTTAGTTGGTGCATCCATTACTAAAACTTAAATTTTCGAAGTGAAAACTCAAGCAATCCTAATGGGTACACTCATGCATGAATGTATGGGTACAGGGTACCCATGAATTCACGAATATAACCGTACATTATTTCTTCGAACATCTACATCGTAATGTTACTGAAATTTGTTCCTGCAAATAATCTATCTATAAATTTATCCATATTATTAGGTTTATACGAAAATAAAGACTAAAAACATCATGTTTGAATTCCCTCTTCAATAGCACTTAACTATAAAAATCAACATATGTCACCCATCTAAAAAAAAAGGTGGCGTCTTCGGTGCACTCACTTTTCTGGGTGCATTCAGTACACTCGCTTCATAACCGTCATTTTAAACATGCGATTTGTGTCATAATGATGTCAATCATCACTTATGATGTGATGAACAATAACGCACATGAATTTGCACAAAAACCATTAAAGATTTACTTTAATTTGAAGGATTTAGAGTTTAAAGATTTAGGGTTAGGGTTTACAGTTTGGGGGTTTAGGGATAGAACTCAAAATTGGAGTTCTAGGGTTTAGGGTAATCCGCTAATTAGATGTTATCATATGTTATATCATCATATTACACTAATTCTACAAATTAAAATTCAAAATCCGACACCTTAAGACTAGTTTTTGAGTTGGGTGCATTGAACGCACTCATTTTTGTGAGTGCACCGAAGTAGTCATTGTTCTGATTAGATAAAAAAAAAGATGTTGTTTTGCTTTATGGATTAAATTGATGGAAAGTGGGTTAGGTTCCAAATCCAAACCAATCCATCAATTTCATAAACGAGTAAAACCCGCACCGACCCAAAATCCGCCAATACTGGGCTTTACCCACTTTGACCGGATTGGATTGGAGAATACCCATATTTGGGTTCAAATATTGTCATCCTACTCACGGTGTTGTAACAATCTGTTTATGCTTTTTGGCTACTATAATGGAAGACAAAAAAAAGAAAGAAAGGAAGACAGAGACAGAGAGAGAGAGACCTCGGGCACCATGTATTTGGCTCCAAACATAAGGTGCAAAGTATCAGGCGTCCAGGACAAGTAGACTAGATATCCATACAAAAGCCCCAGCGCCGTGTCTGGTATCATACTTCCCATGCACTTCCTTGTCTGCAAATTAAGTTAAATGATTCGATCGATCGATCAAACATGTTATAGCTAGTAATGGAAAATGTATACATCACAGTCACATAACATCGTACGAGTTGTGACTTTGGAGCCAGAAGCATGAGCACGTAAAATGGGAGCACAGCTGTTGTTCCCACGCTGAACACAGTGCTGGCGCTCGCTGAAACTGCATCCACAAAATTATCAACTAATCAGATCCGATCCAATGACTAGTTAATTCCAAGCAGTAAGAAAAAAAAAAGTGATTCTACGCGCTTTGTGATCCAGAAAGGTAATAGCATAAGTAGGGGGTGTGCAACAGTTTGCGGTCCGGTTCGGACCAAACTTATGAGAGAACCGCGGTCCATTAGTGAAATACATCTTAGGTCCAAGGACCGGACCATTTTTGTGTTTGTTCATTTTTTGTCTGGTTTCGGTCCGGCCCAAATATCAGTTCGGTCTATCATTTCTTCAATAATTGTAAAAATTCATGTGGACCAAGTACCGGACCACATTATACTCGGTCCAGTGCGATCCGGTTCAAACCTCGGTTTGGTCCCGGACCTGACCATTGCACATCCCCTAAGCATAAGCTCTAAAGCCAACGATTTTAAGTTTTAACTAAGCGAGATTTTGACGACACGAACAAAAACGCGAACGATTTTACGCGCCATTCATTGAATTAATTAGAGAAGGGTTAAAAAGTAAAACCAATACATGATGAAGCGTAGAGTAGTCTGCTGGACGAGGTGTTGTGATGAAGGCAGATCGGGTTTGGTTGACAAGTAGTGGCCACCTTTGAACCGCCCAAGAAACTACTGCTCCACCCATCGCCTCTGCCGTTTCCAGTAACTTGGGCGATGTTCATTACTACTCGAGTTGCTGCAACGGCGGCAGCCTTGAGTGATTTCCTTGGATGATGATGATGATGATTAGGAGGAAACGAGAAGCACAGAGGGAACGCCATTGGGGTAATGTAGTGTAGTCTGCCTTTTTTCCCCACACCCAAACCACAGTAACATAATATAGGGGTGAGAGTGAGAGTGAGAGAGGCGGTTTGAATGTGACAAAAAAAACTGGTATGTTGGTACTTGGATCGGATGAGATGGGTTTTGTGAGTATTATCAGAAATGGTACATAGCGGGACTTGGGAGGAGGGTTAGGTTTGCGGGTGATATATCGATGGTCTTTGAATTGCTTTCTCTCACTCGATCACTGTGAAATTTAGGTGTGTGTACGTAGTAAGGCTGGCTATTTGGTTCGGATTGTTTGGTTTTACCCGAAACCGGACCGTATAACTCGGATCGGGACCGGACTGAGACCGGATAGCAAACAATCCAATCTCATATTCGTGCTTAGATTTGAGGTAAAAAAAACTCGGATAAAGACCGGATAGGAGACCCCCCAACACCTAAAATCAAGATAAAATTGGGACCGAACTGGGGAAAGTGGCATGCTAAACTATTCCAGTTTTGGGAAGTGGCCGGGCCGGCCATGTGCAACTGGTATACAGATAGATAGTCCATATGCTTTTGTCTCTCACTTCCCAGCCCTTCCCCTGCCTACCTACCCATTCCACCTTCCGTTTGAACACCGATATGTATGACGGAATTGTGTAAACTTCAAAATTCGACAGGCGGATTTCCATTGTGACGATGGTCATTTCTACGAGAACTGTATTATTATTTATTACTACTGCTATTTTTTCTCCCAGCGGTGGTAGGAAACTAATTATATTGAATTGATGGAGAATAGTTGTTTCAGGAAAAAAAAATTATTCACCAAATTAGTGTAACTATCAACCACCATGCTTCAACCATCGGAGACAACTGCAACCAACCTCCGGCAATGAAATGCTGCCTTCAACGATGGCGGATTGAAGGAAGAGACATAGGATTAGGGCAAGCTGAGAAAATAAGCAGAGGGAGGAAGGAAGAATATTTGTGCGATTGGGGAGATTGACGACAGAAAGATGAGGCGAAATGGGTTTTTTACTTTGAAGACTTCCCTAAAGTTAAAAATGGGCTTGGGTGGTTGGGCTGTGGGTTAGTGGGACTTAGGAGAGGGTTAGGATGGGCTTGGGCTTTATTTGAGTGGGTTGTGGGCTTAACATAGGATAGATTTTAGGTTGTTCGGTTTTATTGGCTGGATTGAATATTTTCGGTTCGATTCATTGCGAACTAAACATAGTAGTAGGAGACATCCCTTCACCGAATTCCGATATGTTAACAATATTTGTTCGATTTTGGTTCGGATTTCCCGAACCGTATGCCCGCCCCTGCTTACTGAAGAGAGAAGACTTACTTTTAGTATTTTTCTCTAACTTAAGAATAGGAATACTTGAAGTACTAGTGCATGGTCTGTCTGTTGAGCAGGTTGCCTTGTGATTCAAGTATTTCCTTTTACATAAAATAGTTTGGTTACATTTGAATTATGAATTATTGATCTCCATGTTGAATAATACTTTTTTTATTTTTTTTAGCATGATAAATATTAGGTACCCATAAATACCCCATCATACTTAAATTAAACACGATCTCATCAAAAGAAATAATAATAAGATAAGAGGGATGGCAAAATGAGTTGCCGACAAATCAAGCTCGAGAAATGGTATAAGAACATCAACCAACATGAATTTGATTAGGAAATATAATGATTCATCTACACCAAAGTGAAAAGGAGACTTTTAAGTCATAAGAGAGAGGGAAATTACAAACAAAGAAGAAATGGATGTCTTCATATCTTCAATCTTATTTTCCTCTACTTTGACTTCGATTTTGAGCTTGCAGGGGCTTTGATTCGGTCACAACCTCTTCCAAGAATTCTCAAAAACCTCTCTCTCCACCTCTTGTTTGAGCCTATTCTATTCTCTCTCTCAAAAGTGGCTCTTCCCCTTGAAAATCACAAAAATGGATACTTAGTGCAAAAGCAAAACTCACGGGGGCGAAACTTTTCTTTTCACCGCATTACTTTTCAAAACACAACACTTAGGTAAGTTGCATAGGGCAAACTCACTGTAGTTTTTGGCAGTCATGATCGGTGACTTTCAGAATCATGACCATGACTTTCAGTTTTCAATCTCTGGAATTGATTCACGGTTGTGCTACGAGAAGACTTTTCTTTTCAGTTTTCACCCCCCATGACTTTCCAAAACGTAGGACTTAGGTGAGTTGAATCTTGAAGATCTCTCTAGAAATGATTCACGGTTTGTGCTTCTGATTCCCACAACCATGAGTTTCATGGTAGTGAAACTGTGAGACTTTGTGTTGACTCTCATTTTCTTCTTTTCATCCTCCAAATGCCTTGGAACTCACTCTCAAAGCTTCACTATACATTAGGAGCTCAAATATATCAAAAGAGAGCAACCTAGCATATTTCGACCATGAAAAGGTGTAATATTTGTGCCTGACCAATATAAATTAGGACTTTGCTACAGTGACATGCATGTCATGGTGACATGCACTTTTCGGTCGACCTCATATAGGATCAGGTCGACCTAATCTGTTGTTTCAGTGTAAAAACAGTTTCATGGTGCCTACTTTGGAGATTCATATCTTACAATTGGCTAGATGGAAATTGGAGATTAAAGGCTTGTTTTGAAGCTGAAGTGTCCCTCTACACATTAAAGTACTTGGGAGCTCAATAGAAAGTCCAGAAGACCATTTTTGAACCTGACCAAAAGGCTATGCCAAAACTGGGAAACTGCCTGAAAATGGCCAAGTCTGGCAACGTGTTTGTCAAGCCTACTTTGGAGCTCAATTTGAGAAGCATGGATGCGAGCCAAGTCCAGGGGCCTCTACCACGTTAAATTACGTATTTTTTATACAAAGTCAAGGCATTGGATGAAAGATTGAATATTTTTAAGGCTTCAAATAAAAGGCTCGAAGTTGCTACGAAGGCTGTTTTTCTGGCCGCTTGCTTGTGCTCGAAGTCTGCCAGAAAAATAGCATTCGTAGCAACTTCGACCCTTTTGTTTGAAGCCTTACAGATATCCAATCTTTCATCCAATGCCTTGAATTTGTATAAAAACATACCTAATTTAACGTGGTAGAGGCTCCTGGACCCGACTCGCATTCATGCTTCTCGAATTGAGCTCCAAAATAAGCTTCACAAACACGTTTCCAGACTTAGCCATTTCCAGGCAGTTTCCCAGTTTTGGCATAGCCTTTTGATGAGGTTCAAAAATGGTCTTCTGGACTTCCGATCGAGCTCTTAATCACTTCAATATGTAGAGGGACACTCCATCTTCAAAACAAGTCATTAGTCTTCAATTTCCATCTAGCCAATTATATGATATGAATATCCAAAGTAGGCACCATGAACTGTTTTTACACTGAAACAACATATTAGGTCGACCTGATCCTATATGAGGTCGACCGAATCCAAAATGAGGTCGACCAGATCCTATATGAGGTCGACCGAATTCTAAATGAGGTCGACCTAATCCTAACTGAGGTCGACCGGAAAGTGCAAGTCACCGTGACATGCATGTCACCGTAGGCACACCCTATAAATTAATATAATTATTTTATGGTTTCTGAGTTATGGGCGTAGCGATGCATGGTTAGCTCACAAACAGCCGAGACTTTTTCTCAAGAAAAAGAAAACAGCGGGGACTCTAGGTCTATCTATCATAGAGTAGACCGCAGAGTAAAAGTTCTTTGATTATGAACAGTACCCCTAGCATAAAGTTCGTTAAAGTATAATTGTTTCAGAGGTAAATATTCAAGAAACGATAAAGCATTGAGGGCTCAAATATGTATAAATATCATGCATTAGTGACCCTAGATGATTACCCATGGGGTGATTGATCCCATGGGTGGTCGAGGGTGACCCGAGTGGTTTTCAAGATGATCCAGAGTGATTGACCTCGAGGATGACCAGAATTATCCGAACTGATTGACCCCACCTGCTGAGTAGGGTCTGTTTGGGGTTATCCATGTTAGATTTTTTTATTTTTTTTTAACTTAAGGTCCACCAATACGATTGGGCAATTAAAGTTTAGATGGTCGCAAATATAATCCTCTAATTTGTAATGAAATTGAGGTTCTTATTGTTTGACGATATCATCAATCTTGCCTGAACAAGTTCAACCTATGGTACGAAGTTTAGACTATAGATACCATGGTTGTCAATCCGTGAGCTCACCGGTCAGTCAATCCGCTTCGGCCCGGACCCAGTGCTCTAAACTCACGGCAAATACTCAGTTAGCAGTTGGCCCAAAATCGATCAAAACTGGATACACTCAGTTAAATCTAGAGAAACCAGACCATTTGACCGACCGATAGGGTTCTGGGTCATTGTCAAAACTTTACCAACTTTTACTTTTTTTTAGCTAATTTTGTTTTTAAGTGAAAGATTGCCACAAGCATATGGAGTAGGGGTGGACAATGTGACAGGACTGGGTACTCGTCTTATTTGAAACAAGTACCCAGTCTCATTTGGAGAGGAAAATCAATTCTATGTCACAAACCCGTATGGGTAAATGGGTACTCATTACCCGTACAGGACGGATAACGGGTACCCAAACTACCCCCTATATACCCAAACTTCCGGCTTCCTTCACAAATAGTCCTAGTTGTCTAGATTTTTCAGTTTTGCAGACAACCATGAGGATTTAGAGATTTTCGAACACGAGAACAATAACAAAAAGAGAAGAACAACAAGGTCCCCACGAAAGCGAGAACGCAGAGAGCGGGGAAATCCGAAAATCACATGGGAAGGCCGATTGTTGGGGTCACTGGATCGAGGGCACGGAGAGGAGTAGTCGAGTCGGGGTAGGGGCTGATTTTTGTCTCCGTGAGTCGTGAGACTGCGATTAGGTCTTCTTCCAATCTTTCGAGGGAATCAAGTGATAGGAGCGGAGCGAAGTTGTGGGGTTGGATTGGGTTGGGCGAGCTGAGCTTTGGGCTAATGGGTTTGTATAAGAAATCTACATAATGGGTATTAGGGGTACCCAATGTAGCATTTTACCATCTCAAATCTCATCCGTTAATAAATATTACAGGTATTTTAGTACACATAACTCTAAAAAAACGTGACGAGTGTGGATATACTCAAATACCTATTTCTCGTTGCTCATCCCCTAATTAATATGGAGGGGCAGATCAAAGGGGGAAGAGGAGTAAATCAGAGGAAGTGAAAGAAGCATGGTATATCGAGGCTGGGAGAGAGACCGATGGGACCGAACTACACAAGGGTCTCTCCTTCCAGGCTCTCGCCGCTACTAGTGAGGTTGCGACAACATTGAGGTCCAAATTCACCTCATCCACTGTGAACCATAGTCCTTTGACGCTTAGATGATGATAGGGATGCACTTGAATTTCGACAAAGACAATACAGTAAAAAAAAACAAATGAAACGCGTTGGCACATCCAACGAGCACTAAACTAGTAAAACATATAATTATGTTAGAAAATTTTACTTATGTTTTCATCTACAGAATTAAAATTCACATCTTATAAGAAAAAATCACTAAAATTCACAACAACAACAAAAAAACATAGTACGAAGAAGGTTGTGTAATGTGGAATATTGAGTAGGTCTCAAATTTTATCTTCCTTGATTCCCAACTCTGTCTCTCGAGAGTATTCTTCCTTCTAGAAAGTCAATCACCTATACCAATTGAAGATCTCCCGGATTGGTATTATCATTAAGTAATAATTATACTGTTCTCAATTTTCATATCTGAATTATGTTATTCATATTCTTATTGATGTCTTTATTCGGTCTGAGAAACACGCTGATTTGTTCCAGTCCGCGCGCGCGTTCCCATCCCCATCCAGCCATCTCGTTTTATATCCTTTTTCCTGATCGTCAGCCTCAAAAAAACAGATTTTAAAAACGGGAAAAAGGAACCAACTTTTCATACGCAAGTGTTCGTTCTTGGCGTCCAGCAGGCACCAGAAGAAGGCGTCATCAGAAGCATTATTAGAGAGAAGGAGGCGGAGGAAGGAAGGAAGGAAGCGTCAATACGCACGCTCGCCGGCAAAAGGGGACAAGATGACGACGCGCCCGCTGCGGTTCCCTGAGATCGACGCCGAGCTCCGGCGAATCGTCAATGCGAATATGGAGGAAGTCCCCGCTCGGCGACGAGCTCGCGAGGCCTTTAAGGATATCCAGCTCAACGTCGACCACATCTTGTTCAAGGTTCCCTTTTTTCCTTTCGCCCTCCCCTTTTAAGTTCCTCTGATCTGAAACTTCGTTGAAACCATATCGCCCTTAATTTTGTAGAGCGTTTGAGCCGTCGATTGACAGTTAATTCTGCAGTTGTTGTTGACCTTTGTATTCCCGATTGTCAAAAATGAAATTCTGATTCTGGGTTTGTTTCAATTCTGGTTTTCTCTCTCTCTCTGTTGCAGACACCAAGTGACGGACTGAAAGTCAATGAGGTATTGAGATGTGATTGGCAATTTTGCAGCACATGTGTTACTGCTTGAAGTTTGTAGGAAAGTTTGCATCTTTGCTGCCTCATTTTGGGCTTTATGGATATATAAATTGAGAAAAGGGGATGGGATTGTAGTTATTGCAATCCAACTTTAGCCCCCCTGCCCTATCGGTTGGGGAACTAGAACATTAAAGTCTGCACCTTTCATGTCCTCTTTCAGTGCATTGGGTCGTACATCATATGTGAAAACCGTACCAACCTTCCAATTTTCCCCATTTTTATTAGTTTGACTTGAACAAATGAGAGTTTGATCTCCTAGAGAATGAATTGGTGACTGATTGATTACACAGCATATCCAAGGTCACAGCATTTTAGGTAATGCTTTGGGATGGCAGGTTGTTGGATTAGCCTGCTATAGCTTTGGAGTATAGGATCATCACACAATCGCATGCTTTATAGATAGATAGTTACATACATAAAGATGGACAGACAGCTAGAAAGATTTGGTCATGTGTTAGGCCACTGTGCCTAGTCAGCAACTGGTGTGGGTGTTAAGCCCTTTTGTGACAAGTAGTTACTTCTCTTCCACAGGCATACGAGGTGAACTCGAGAGGGGTGGAGATTTTCACGAAGAGGTGGCTGCCAGAAACCCCAAAAGCTATGATCTGTTTCTGTCATGGTTATGGAGACACTTGCTCCTTCTTCTTTGAAGGTGAGTGATAGCAATGGCCTGTTCTCAAGCAGGATGTAATGATAGGTGGTTTGGGTGATTTCTTAGACCAGAGGTTTTGAATTTTCTTTCTCCGTTGTTTATCAGGAATTGCGAGGAAGTTTGCTTTATCTGGCTACGGTGTTTTTGCAATGGATTACCCTGGATTTGGTCTCTCAGAAGGTCTTCATGGCTATATTCCAAGCTTTGATACTATCGTCGATGATGTTATTGAGCACTACAATAAGGTCAAAGGTGTGTTTGTAATGTTAATAACAGGTTCTGAACTTTAGAATGCTTAGTAATGTCTTTTGGAATGGACGAACTGACATTCGCTGCTCCAGTTAACAAATTAGCTTTGCTGTGTCTTTGATTTTCATGCCTGGATGCTTCAAATTTCATAATTTTCTTCCAACAGCCAGTTTCGATTGGGGCCAACATAGCATACTCGAAAGAAAATTTTATTCATTTCTGTCATTATAGGTGTATTTGTTTGGAGGCCACATGGACAATAATGTAGAATCTGTGTTTCATTTGGTGATGGCAGGGGATCCTGAATTTCAGAACCTCCCGAGCTTCTTGTTTGGGCAGTCAATGGGTGGAGCTGTGGTTCTGAAGGTTCACTTGAAACAGCCAAATGCTTGGAGTGGTGGCATTCTTGTTGCACCAATGTGCAAAGTATGGATGCTTCACTGAAGTTTCATTTCTTGTCACATTTACTAAAACAAGATAGTTCTTGTAAGAGCATAAAACACAGTACTCTTTAGTAATCAATCCATTGGATCTAGATTGCAGATGACATGGTTCCACCTTGGGCGGTGAAGCAATTCCTGATTGGGATAGCGAATTTTCTTCCGAAGCACAAGTTAGTGCCACAAAAGGATCTAGCCGAGGCAGCATTCAGGGAACCGAAGAAGAGAGAATTGGTGAGTCTTTTCTATGCAGAACTTGGATGGTGGTTCTTTAAGTCTACACAATTTGCTGATTGCTAAACCTCCTACCCTGAAATTGCAGGCTGCGTACAATGTCATTGCTTACAAGCACAAACCACGGTTGAGGACGGCCTTGGAGATGCTCGAGACAACCAAACAGATAGAACAACGACTTGAAGATGTAACGTGTTGTCTTTCTCGCTCAATTCGTCTTGCACCTGTGGCTAATGCCAGTTGTTAGGAATGGGTATAAATGTCGGTTTTCGTTTGGTCGATTGCAGGTATCTTTGCCTCTGTTGATACTGCATGGGGAGGCTGATATTGTGACGGACCCATCTGTAAGTAAAGCTTTGTACGAGAAAGCAAAGAGTTCAGACAAGACGCTGAAACTGTACAAAGATGCTTTCCACTCACTGCTGGAGGGAGAACCGGATGAAACCATAACTCAAGTGTTTAACGATATAATCAGCTGGCTGGATCAGCACTGCAAATGAGCAAAACAGAGGCCGAGCCATTGCATTGGCTTACCCCCAACGGCAAGGCTCGTGGCCTTTTGTCTCGAATCTTTTATTTCCTCTGCCAAATATATATTCAATTATTCTTTCAGGTTAGATCGATCTGATTTTAAATAATTACGAATGTTGGCGATAATAACAGTGACTTTGTTTTAAACACTAATGGGTAGTTTTAGAAATTGTATTGTAGTGGATATATGTATTGATGTATTAAATACAACGTTTGGTGTGTGTGATTGTGTATGTCAAATCAGGTAAAAGATAAGATATAATAATCTCAATTAAAAGATAAGATATAACAATCATTTATTTTGGGTGATAGTTTATGTCACATAACATAAATGATTTATGTGTGTATGAAAAAGTCTTAAATATGGATTTATGTGTGTATGAAAAAGTCTTAAATATGGTGAACCATTATCTAGAATCCGGTTGACAAATATGGTGAAATATTACCAGGATCTAGTCGACCAATCAGTATAATGAATATATTGTATATGCTTGGTGTGTTTTATAATGGTCGGTTGGTTGTTTCACAAGTCACTTTTACAAAACTTAATGCATACATCAACGAAAATTTGTAACTCTATATAAAATGACATGAAGGTATGGAGGTCGATTGGAGCACTAAATGATTGACCTTTCCATCGAATAGTTTGATTGATTTCAAGGCGTGATGCCTTCTACACAAACAAATTGTTATTACCATACATAGAGTCATGTTCAAAGGTTGGGTATTCGTATATGGTGGCCCCTCCACACGGCCCAAAGTTTCAGTAGGGAAAAGAAAGTAAAAATACACAGGGCTCCTACTTACCTAATTAGTAATTAGAAATAACAAGAAAAACAAAATTTAAGTTGGTACAAAGCAAAGAAAACATAAAAAAATTATTAAAGGTTAACCGTAAGTGTGAAAAGAACCGTAAAGAGCGAATGTTCTTGTTACTTGCATCAAAAAACTTAAGTTTGTGCCTATATCCATTCACTTAATAACATTTTGTTTAGGACCGACACTAGGTAAAGGATCCAAGTTACCGTACCTCACACTTTATATGCTTTTTGTACTAAGAAGCATACAAAAGGGAGCAACTTTTGATACCCGTTTTCGTCCGGATTTTCTAAAATTAAATATTTTGGTTTTGGAATGAATTTTTTTCCACGAAGAGCTCAAATTTTAATTTAAAATACGAGATGCTCTCGTACACATTTCTTGATTCAACTTTTTGATTCTTAAGGGGTCGTTTAAAAGTTTTCATTGTTTTGTTGAGATTGTTGCTTTACATGTATTGTTTCGAATGCATCGTTTTTTATTATAGCTGAATCAATAAATGGATTGTTTCTGTGATTTGACAGAAACCATCACTCAAAATGAGTGATTGTTATATCTCAACAAACTTTTAACTGCGATTGTTGAGATAATTTATTTGAGATTGTTTTGTCTCAACTTTTAGCTGGTGTGTCATATACACAATCACACATACCAACTGCTGTATTTAAAATTGCATCAAAGTCAACTATACATGTAAACATATTATACATGCATTCACAACAACACATCGATTTAACAATCGGTTTCACTCGTACATTTTGAGTTTGAGCCCATAAATAAATAATAAACGAGCAGCCTACTACAGACCATTTCTATTACATATTTGGACTTCTATTCTATCACACACACAAAAAAAAGACCTAAACCCACGTAACAACGAAGTGGTACAAGAGATTGAACCCTAAAAACTTGAGCATTTCATTACAATCTCTGGCCTTTATAGGCAGAGCATTACAGGAAGAAGACAAGCAAGTTTGCTGTTTGTTTTGAAGCTTGGAAAGGAAACAAGACAGTCTTGTGGCAAAAGTAAACAACGACTGAAAGGGAAAGAAGAAACGGCGACGTTCCGAGGAGATGGCTTCTCCTTCAGCAGCACTGAAACGGCGGCGTTCCACTTAAGCTCCTTGTCTCGTGTCGAAACGTTGTCGTAGAGAATTCTGACCGTTGGAAATGAATTTTCCTTCTGTTACCCCCCCGCAAGCTGGTGGGCAAAGATTGCGCACACCAAGCTTGGAGAGCAGTGTCTGAAATGGAGCGGGAGATAGGGGTTTTGTGAACAAATCCGCCAATTGGTGAGCTGAGGAGATATGAAGAAGCTTCAGAGTCCCTGATTGTGTCTTCTCTCGAACAAAGTGGCAGTCCAGTTCGATGTGTTTGGTTCTTTCGTGGAAGGTGGGGTTTTTGGCAATGTGAATTGCGCTCTGGTTGTCGCAATACAGAGTTGCTGGAGCTGAAGAAGAGGCTTGGAAATCAGCCAGAAGGTATTGCAGCCACTGTATTTCACAAGCCGTTTGGGCGAGGGCCCTGTATTCTGCCTCACATGATGATCTGGAGACTGTTCTTTGCTTTTTACTTTTCCAGGAGATTAAAGAGTCACCAACATAGATGCAAAAACCAGTAGTCGATCTTCTGGTGTCAACACACGCTGCCCAATCGGAGTCAGCAAAGGCCTTGAGTTGAAATGTGCCTGTTGAGGGAAAGAAGAGACCAGTTGCAGGTGCAGACTTCAGGTACCTTAGAACACGAAGAACAGCTTTGTAGTGGGTAATTGTTGGTGAAGACATGAACTGACTCAGTTGCTGTGTGGCAAAACTGATGTCAGGGCGTGTTGTAGTGAGGTAGATCAACTTCCCTACAAGTGTTCTGTAGAGTTCAGGGTCTTCAAATGCTGTATCTGGTCCATTGCTGAGGTGGAGTTTGTAGTCCATAGGTGTAGTCACAGGTTTTGTATCCAAGACATGTGCTTCCTCTAAAATTTCAAGAGTGTATTTCCTTTGACTGATGTGAATTCCAGATTTGCTTCGAGCCACTTCAATGCCAAGGAAGAATTTCAAATCTCCCATGTCTTTGATGCTGAATTCTTTGTGCAGAATCTCTTTTAATGATTGAATCTCATCAATATCATTGCCCCCCAGAACTAGATCATCCACATAGATCAGAATGCAAGTATAGCTAGTGTCTGTGACCTTGAAAAACAGTGAATGGTCTGCTTGACTCTGTGTGTAACCAACCTGTCCCAATTTGTCAGTCAATTTGGAAAACCACTGTCTGGAAGCTTGTTTTAAGCCATATAAAGATTTTTTCAGTTTGCAGACTGGGTTGGGAATACCAGGAGGTGGAGTATACCCTTTTGGTAGGGTCATATAAACCTCTTCTTGCAAATCTCCATGGAGAAATGCAATGTTCACATCTAGTTGGTGAACATGCCAGTTTCTCATGGCAGCAATTGCAAGAAAGGTTCTGACAGTGGTCATTTTGATTACAGGAGCAAAAGTGTCCTGATAATCAATGCCCTCTTGTTGAGTGTTGCCTTTGGCAACAAGTCTTGCCTTGTGTCTCTCCAAAGAACCATCAGAGAGGAATTTATCCTTGTAGATCCATTTGTTGCTGATAGGTTTCACCCCTTTAGGTAAACTGACCACATCCCAGGTATGGTTTTTGAGTAAAGCTTGAATTTCAAGCTGCATTGCACTGTTCCAGATCTCATGTTGTGAAGCCTCTTGGTAAGATTGAGGTTCATGATGACTTGAAATGTTGAGAAGAAATTTTTTGTGAGCAGGTGAAAGTTTGTCATATGACAGGAAGGAAGGGAAAGAATACCTTGAATCTTGGTTCTGTTGCAGACTTGAGTGACTGGTTCTGCTTGGACCCTGTGATAAATAACAATGGTAATGTTGGACAAGATGGGGAGGGGGTTTGGATTGTCTGTCTGAACGTCTTACTGGTTGGATTGGTGGGGAAGGTGGTGGTGATGGAACAAATGGAGAGTTGGGTGGGGAAGGCAGTGGGCTGGTAGGTGGGGAAGGGGTGTTATCTGGATGGGGTGTAGCAGTAGGAGAGTCTGTAGCTGGGGGAGGAGATGGAGGTGATAAATGAGAAGATGGTGAGGGATCATGAATGATGCTGTTGTTTGGATTTGGGGTTGGGAAGAGGAAATCTGGATGAGGACTAGAATCATGATCAGGGGAGGAATTTTTGTATGGGAAATATGACTCATAGAAAATCACATCTCTAGACAAGAAAACCTCATGGGAGGTGATGTCATACAGTTTGTAACCTTTAATCCCAGGGGCATAACCAATGAAGATAGCTTTTCTTGCCCTAGGTTGGAATTTGGTTCTGTGGCTGGCTAGTGTACTTGCATAACACAGGCAGCCAAAAACCTTTAGATCAGTTAAGTCTGGCTGTTTGTTGTGAAGCTTTTGAAAGGGAGTTAGGTTTGAGAGAATGGGAGTTGGAACACGATTAATTAGGTAGACTGAGTGTTTGACACAGTCACCCCAGAAAGCAGGAGGAAGGGATGCTTGGAACTGAAGGGCTCTAGCAACAGCAAGTATGTGTTGATGCTTCCTTTCTACTTTACTATTTTGCTGTGGTGTTTGGACACAGGACATTTCATGAACAATTCCTGTTTTGTGAAAGAAATCTTCCATTTGGAATTCCTTTCCCTGGTCACTTCTTATGATTTTGATTTTTGATTGGAATTGCCTTTCCATCTGATTGCAGAAGGCAATAAGTTTAGGTCTTGCCTCTGATTTAAGTTGCAAAAGAATGATCCATGTCATTCGAGTGTAATCATCAACAACAGTTAAGAAGTATTTGTATCCATCATAAGTTGGGACAGAGTTGGGACCCCAGATGTCTACATGAAGAAGTTCAAAAGGGAAAGAAGTTACAGACTGACTGGTAGGGAAAGGGAGACGTTTTTGCTTAGCAAAATGACAGACATCACAAGGTTGATCTCTTAGAGTAGCAATGGAGGTACAAAATTGATTGAGTATGGGAATTTTGGAATGGGAGACATGCCCTAATCGAAAATGCCATAGGTCAAAGGTGGAGGTGGAGGCAGCTGAGATCAACTTAGGAAAAAGGGAAGCTTCAAGGTAATAAAGGCCATTGCAGAGTTTAGCAGAACCAATCACTCTCGTCTGCTTCAGATCCTGTATAAGACAAGTGGTGGAGTGAAAGGTTAAACACAATGAGTTCTTAGAAGTTAATCTGCTCACAGAGATAAGGTTGAAGGTGAAGTTTGGAACAAACAAGGCATCATGTAAGTGCAAGTCATCACTGCAGATGGCAGTTCCTGAATGTGTAGCTTGAATTTGTTCACCAGTGGGAAGAGTGATGAAAATATTGTGTAATGGTTGAGGGTCATGGAGGTAGGCTAAGGAGCACACAATGTGATCAGAGGCTCCTGTATCAACAATCCATTTGGGAGGGTTTGTGGAAAAAGCATTCAATATGGGGGCTGGGGGATTTGGAGAAGAAGTTGTACCTGGTGTAGTCACATATGCAGCAGCAGAGAAAGAGGGTTGTGTCTTTGTGGAAGACATTAAGCTCATAAGTTTGTCATAATCTGACCTAGTGAGCTTTACTTCATCATTGCTTGATGGAGTGCTGAGAAGAGCAGCTGTTGGTCTTGGTCTGGGAGGAGCAGTTGATGAGGACCTAGGGACAAAATTAGCTGGATAACCATGCTTCTGAAAGCATTTGTCTTCTGAGTGACCTCTTCTTTTGCAATGGTTGCAGATAATAACAGTTCCAGATGTGGAGGCTTGAGGTCTGGACATGCCAGGTGGCCATCCATGCTTCTGAAAACAGATGTCCTCAGTGTGTCCCTCTCTTCTACAAAAGGTGCAGTATGGTGGTTTGCTGTTGGTAGAAGTCCTTCTGTTTCCTCCTTGAAAACCAAGAGCAGTGGATTCTGTCTGTGTGGATGCAACCATTTTACCAGTTTGTGTACCATAGATCTGCCTTTCATGCTGTAACATGCGTTGAAAGACCCTGTTGATTGTAGGTAGTTCTTCTCCAAATAGTACTTGAGCTCTAACAGTAGCATAATTGTCATTTAACCCACGCAAGAACTTAATCACATAGCTGGTTTCATGGTATTGCAGGACACGAGTCATGGCAGCACAGTCAAGGTGACTAGTGGGGGTGCAAGTACATGGCAAAAGGGGTTGGTAGTTCTCTAACTCATCACGAAGAGTGATGACATAGCCATAGTACTCAGTAATGGTACGATTACCTTGATGCAGAGTAGAAAGGGCTTCTTCCAGTTCAGCAATCCGAATCAAATCACCAGATCCATACCTTGTTTGTAGACTAGACCATGCTTCAGCTGCTGTTTTACTTGAGAGAATGGTTTTGCGGATCTCTGAGGAAGAAGCTTGTTGTATCCAAGAAAGCACCATGACATTGTTACGAATCCAGGCGCCATGGCGTGGATCTGTAGCCTCTGGCTGTGGAATAGTACCATTGATGAAGCCAACTTTGTTTTTAGCAGCAAGTGCATTGAGCATCGCCCTACTCCAGTCATTATAGTTTGTGGCAGTAAGGGTTTCAGCGACAAGAAGAGATCCAGGCTGCTCGGAGCCATGGAGAAAGAAAGGGTCTGAGAGAGGGTCAAGAGGAATGGGGGCAGGCACATTTTGTTGCTCTGCCTGTTGTTGTTGAGCGGCTTGGTTGTCCGCCATTGAAAAGAAGAAGGGCGGCGGCTAGGGTTCTATCCCGGGCTCTGATACCATAACAACGAAGTGGTACAAGAGATTGAACCCTAAAAACTTGAGCATTTCATTACAATCTCTGGCCTTTATAGGCAGAGCATTACAGGAAGAAGACAAGCAAGTTTGCTGTTTGTTTTGAAGCTTGGAAAGGAAACAAGACAGTCTTGTGGCAAAAGTAAACAACGACTGAAAGGGAAAGAAGAAACGGCGACGTTCCGAGGAGATGGCTTCTCCTTCAGCAGCACTGAAACGGCGGCGTTCCACTTAAGCTCCTTGTCTCGTGTCGAAACGTTGTCGTAGAGAATTCTGACCGTTGGAAATGAATTTTCCTTCTGTTACCACGTGATTCGGCCCAATAGCCCACCTGATCGGTCAGGTTGAACCAGACCAACCCAACCACACCCTTTTTCTTCCTCTACCACCTCCATCCATCCCCTCATTTGTTGCCTGCAAAAACAGAGAAACAACTCAGCTCCATGCTTTGGTCTGAGCTAGCTGTAAAGGCAAAGAGAAATCAATAGGAAGGGAAGAGAAATCGAATCTCAAGGACAGAGAATTGATTGAAAGAAATGGGAGTTGGCTGAATTAGTTGAAAAGGTGGGTGTACAGTGGTCCTCCATTTCCCTATTTAAGAGAAGACGCAAGCAAGGTTAGAATCCAGTGGCGGACAAAAGAAAGATCATCAAAATAGAAATGTCATTCTGCATTTAGAAAAATTAAAATTAAAACATAAAAAAGAGGAAGGAGGGACAGCCATCGCCGGACCTCATCTCGTAGCCGCCGCCGCACCGTACATCACCACCGCTCGTCTCGCGCCGTTGTTAGCCGCCGCTGCTGGTTTGCTCTGGTCGTTGCGGAAGAAAGAAGGAAGGAGGGATTAGTCGCATCTGGTCTCGGACTGGAGGTAAATAAAAAATTTACTAGTAAGTACTAACTCTTTTAAATTGAATTAAAAAAAAAATAACAATCGACCATTCTTTTTCAAATAAAAATGATATTCTATTGCAATTCATTACAAATTATTGTTAATAGAATTACGCGAGCTTTGATTTCGAGATGTCGGGTTACGTATGCGATCGAAAGGTTTGAGTTCATAAAACTCTTAAAATATTAATTATCAAATATCACGTGATTAAATCGTTATCGATGGATACGTGATCAATTTAATACTCGACTAATTTATCTAAAAAACGCATCATGATCGATGGATCATTGTCAAATTGAGAAACTATTACTCGGAGATGGGTGTAAGCAAACATTTTCAAAAACAACTAAATGTCGGGTGAACTGCGAGGGCTTTGTTCTCGAGATGTCGATTACGTTACGAAGGAAGTCTACGTGTCCAAGTCCACTAAAAACTAAAATATTTTTCTCCTTGAAATCACCAGAAATATTAATTCATTCTTCCAATGTAACTAGATGTTGGTGAACATGTAATATATTTTTAAAATGACATCACATATTCGAAATAAATCCACATAATTTCAATCAAAAAAATATATCAAATAAAAGGACAAATCGAACTAACACCACATCGAGTTCTTAAAACTCGATCAACTATAGAACGATTTTGGAAGAATCGATCAAGGTAGATCGACGACAAAGGACTCGATCAAAGTAGAACGACTTTGGAAAACTCGATCCACTTAGATCGATGCCAAACAACTCGATCAAGTTAAACGACTTTAGAAGACTCGATCCATATCTGCACCAGATCGATGCCTTACAACTCGATCAAGTTAATCGTCATCTCTCTCTCGAGAAGGTGGAATGTGTGCGTTTCTTTTCTCCATCTTTCTACCATTGCTCGATCCGATCATCCCATTTAGGCAAGCGAGATAGCGACCGATGGGTGATTACGTCAAGTTGTTCCTGTAGAAAAAAAACTTTAATTATTATAAAAAATAGAAGAAAACTATCACATTTAAAAAAAGAAAAGTACATGAGGAAGTACTTACCGGATCTGCCGCCCAAAATCTTTCAGACCGATGGTAAGATTGCTCATCCAACAAATCGGTTTCTCGCGGTCCGCCTTAAATGTATAATCTAGGATCGTAAATACTCGGATCCATCTCGGCAATTTTGAGTGATAGAAGTACCGAACTAAAGGAAAAAAATTGATGTGGAAGATCGGGCTTAGCCGCAACCACAGAGCATATTTTTCTCTTCAAGAGTGGTGGGAGGAAGAGAGGAAGAAGAGTGGAGTGGTGTAAGGTTTGGTGGAATGGAAGGGGGGGGGGGTATTTATAGGTTCTGTGGGAGGAAGTGGATCGAGTTTATCACACTCGAACCACTACATCGATTTTGGAGCAGTCGATCCGCGTCAAAAGCAGCTCGAGGGAAAGTAGATCGAATGACTCAGATCGAGTTTAGGGTACTCGATCTACGATAGAGCATGTCTGGCGTCATCGATCCGCTTCCAGTAGATCGATTACCACGGACTCGATCCACTATCATCGAGTTTCCCCCACTCGATCAGCGTCACCACTGCTTCGTGGATATGGCCATCGAACGGCCAAGATCGTTTCCCGGTACCTCGATCTAGAGTGGAGCGCTGCCTAGGTCATTGATCCAGGTTAGTTTGATCGAGTCTTCTGTCCTCGATCTACGTAAGTCGAGTTCAATAAACTCGATCTGTGTCTTCCTGTGCCAATCAATCGTGGCCCTTTCGCTCGATGCACGTGGATCGATGGCTTGGCAGTCGATCATCTACTAGTTCGAGTTTATTGAACTCGAACCATGTCAAACTTTGGTAGTTTGGGAAATTTTTATAAAAGTCATGTAGAATTATTTTTAATTAATTCTGTATTTAGGGAAATAATTCTTTCTATTATTCTAGGATGAAAAAATTCACCTTCCACAAACCAATAACTTTGATGTGCAATCAATATATCCGTATGGGGGACAACAACTCTAAAGACCTGCCCATTATTGCTCCCTCCAATCCATGATAGATCCATCCAACAACCACTTCCATCTTTTACAACCTACGCCATTTACACCTCCATCTCCCATGTCTGTGAAAGCTAACAAATTTTTTACAGTTACCTTGTCAGAAGGACATCTATATATGATCGAAAGGCAAAGACCTAAATCACGGTAAAGACACACCAAACAGAGAGCGGGTACTGGCGGCAGCTTAGAGTCTTACAAAAGAATGGAAGGAGACAAGAGAAATGACACCGTACGACTAACTGCCATCATCTTCAACATGCAATAACAGCAACAGAAACAGAGAGCAAGCAGAAAAGCAGAGCAATTACGGCGACGACGATCAGTTGACAGAGAACAATTCAGAGTTTTCAGATATGCTATCAGATACTCCCACTAACTTGGACAATGTGTCCGAGAGAAGGCGCGTCCGCGAAGCATTCAAAGAGATTCAGCACCAGATTGACCATTGCCTCATGAAGGTACTCTGTTTCTCTCTGTTTCTCTCTGCCTCTCTCTGTTTTTTTGTTTTCTTCTCTGTTTTTGGGTTCTTCCACTGTAATTGACAAGACTGTTCTGAATCTCTCTGGGGTTTCTTTTGGGTTCACAGATCCCGTACGAAGGGCTGAAGATAGAGGAGGTAATTAGTTCATCAATCAATCAACTACCCAATTCGCTAAATATGGGAAACAATTAATAACAGAAGGAAAAAAAATTGTGCAGTCTATTGAAGTGAACAGCAGGGGACTGGAGATATTCTCCAAAAGCTGGCTTCCAGGGGGAAACTCTGCCACACCAAAAGCACTCGTCTTCTACTGCCACGGCTACGGCGAAACCTGCACCTTCGTCTTCGAAGGAGTCGCCAGGAAGCTAGCGCTCTCCGGGTACGGCGTATTCGCTCTCGACTACCCGGGTTTCGGCCTCTCCCAAGGACTCCATGGCTACATCCCCAGCCTCGACTTGCTCACCTCCGACGTCGCCGAGCATTTCTCCAAAGTCAGAGGTAAGGAACATTTTTAATCACCACTTAAAAATTCCTTACATAGCAAATGTGCTAGCTAAATCCATCGACGGTAACTATTTTGTCCGGCAGATAAGCCGGAGCACCGCGGGCTCCGAAGCTACTTGTTTGGGCAGTCACTGGGAGGAGCTGTTGCCCTGAAGGTGCACCTGAAGCAGCCTAATGATTGGGATGGTGCCATTCTTGTTGCCCCAATGGTCAAAGTAAGTCAACAACAACAACAAAAAAAACGTTGCTGATTTCGTTGGATTGTTCGTTTCTATATGCTTTCTGCTACTGTATCAGTAACAATAGCGCGCGGCTCTTGTAATTAATTAACATTTTTCAATTTGGGGTTGAGCTTTGAAAGTTTGCAGAGAACATGGTTCCCAATTGGATACTGCTCAAGATCCTAATCGGAGTAGCTCACCTCTTCCCCAAGCTGAAAATAGTCCCACACCAGAACTTTGTCAAGATGGCATTCAGAGACCCCAAAAAGCGAGATCTGGTCAAATTCCTTACCCTCAAGATTTCACTTTCACTAACCCACAAAAAACTTTCACTAACCCACAAAAAAAAACTGTAACTTCTGATTAACAACAAATCAATGGCTTCCTGCAGGCAGCTTACAATGTGATTGCTTACAAGGACACGGCCAGGCTGTGGACGGCGCTGGAGTGCCTGCGGACAACCCAGGAGCTGGAACGTTGCTTACACAAAGTAATTTAATCTCCCCTGTTACTTATTTCCCGACCCAAAAATTCAATTACTTTATGCTATAACTCGTCGTCGACTCAGGTTGCTCTGCCGCTCCTGATACTGCACGGAGAGGCCGATGTGGTGACGGATCCGTCGGTGAGCAAGGCATTGTACGAGAAAGCAAGTTGCCAAGACAAGAAGCTGAGGCTTTACGGAGATGCTTACCATTCTCTACTGGAAGGGGAGACCGACGAGGTCATCTCCACGGTTGTGGGCGACATTATCTCTTGGCTTGATCATCGCCATGCTGTAGAATTCAGCAAACCTTAAATAACTGTCGGCTCGTGCGTGCTACTGTGGCATCGAGTTGCTGATTGATTGATTCGTTCAATCCCCTGCCTATCCTCCATCATCATCATCATGGGACTCTGCTCCACCTATTCAATGTTCTGGGGCCAAGGAAATTAAACAAAATAATGTGGATGTTGGCATTCATGGCATTCAATGTAGTACTTTGTAATAATTTGGTGCCCATTTCCCATGTTTATGACTTGTGGGTGGGCTGAAATGGTTGGTTATGTGTATTTTGCAATTTGCATGTAAGTTTAGTTTTCTGCTCTGTCTCTATGTGTTTGTTAGAATGGAAATCCAGATTTTATATAGGAGAGGTTCTGTTGGATTTTTACTATTTTGTGTTTGAATTTGTGTTTGAATTTGAAGAGTTTCGTGTTTCTATGCAGAATTTGATAATGAATTTTAGTAGATTGGGTTTCTGGGTTCAGTGAGAAATTTAACTTCATGTCATTAACGGAGATTTTTTTTTTATGTATTACAATATGTAAATAGATTATGATACGATCACTTACCATCATGGACTCAAGTGCATAGATCTAGAGCCATCCAATGAATTTGAAAAGTCTTGTTCGGGTAACATAATGTGGTTCAGTTTTTTTAAATATAACAAAATGAAATATCATAACATCGATTGATAAGTAAATATCGTTAAATTACTGAAGGGATAGTATGCTTCTAATATTGTTTGAAAATAAAGTTACGAAAAATTCTATGAAAGTTGGAAAAATTAGGGTACCACATATTGCTATTGATCTGCGCCGCACATGTAATCTGAATGCTCCACATCATTCAGGATTAAACGTTTTAAAATGCTAAGGATTTTTATATTAAGAAAAATGCGGATTACCTAAAGCCTCCTGATAAGTGATAAGGAAGCAGCGCTAGCGAGGCCCAGATAAGGAAGCAGAAAAAAGTAGTTGAAGTCTTGGGCTTCAAGCCCAAGTGAAAAGAACTTAAGGCCTGGCCTCTTTTCCTCCTTTAGTTTTATTGAAACTGCGCGTTTTGTAGGTCGTGATGGCAATTTTCGAGCAGATTCGCACGATCCAACCTTTCCAACCTATTTGGGACGGGTATTATCTGATCTGTAGTAGTGTGGGGCGTGACATGAGTATTGCTTCCAACGTATCTTGCTCCTTTATGTCTCATTCCATCATGATTTGCATCAATATTCATATATATTCTCCTCTTTTGAGTTTTCTAAAATTATATTTTCATCATAATTTTTTTTAAAATTCTATCTTTCAACTATTTAGATTCAATTATTCATTCTATTATATTTCTCATTCATTTTTTAAGTGTTTTTCTCTATGTGTTCTTGTAAAAGAGTTAAATATTGACATTCTTTTTAAGAAACATATAAGGATGGGTCAACTCGCTCTGTACTCGCACGAGTATTATCCGACCAGACTCACGCTTAGCGCGAGAAGGATATGAGAATTTAGATACCGCCCCGCCTCTCCCCATTGCCATCAATAGTGCCAAAACTGGGTCAACTTTATGTAGACCAGCTGACTTTTGGGGTCTGAATCACGTGTTAGGCCACTCATAATTGTTTTCAGTTTTCACCCATATTTTGTGCGGACTCCTGAACTTCTAGATACATTTTATCCAGAATTTGTCCACCTCCAGAATTTATCCAAAAATAGCTATACCGTAAATTCTTATTGACAGTAATGTATTGTGGAAAAATTGTATAACAACTAGGAATTTTTAAAAAATTCATAATTGATTTAAACCTACGAATTAATCAATGGAAAAAAATGAGGTTTAGTCAAGTTCTTGCAAAAATAGGTGTTTTGAGCCTTTGACACTCTTGCTACTACATAGCCGCCTCCACGAACTAATTATCTAATCTCAATCACTATCCAGACTAATTTTCAATCATTTAATCATATTTAAATTGGATTGTGATTGGACATCTTCACCAGCTGGCTAAAACAAATTAGCTAGTTGCCTATACTCTTGCCCAACCCTATAATTGGTTTGACTGATTGATTCCAACTTCTTCGATGAGAACTAAACAATTAGCCCTAGAAGAAAGCAGTTTGCATGAACAAATTTGTCTTGACTCTGATTTTGAGCCAAACCCAAACAAATTCCAAAGGTGGAGCTACCTATGGTCATTGAGGGACTACAGATTCCAGTTATATATTTTATTCGAGGTTTATATGCATTAAACTGTTTTCTTATACGTATGTTGAGCAAGAGATTTTGTACTCAAACCCTTATTATCCCTAATATTAATAATTGATTTAAACATAAATTATGATGCGTCGTTGTATATCACAATCTTGTGAATTAACTTTCGTTTGGGGGCATTTCTTTTAAAAACTAGGGCAAATACAATATATTAGCCATAACTATCAAGCAGCGGGGAATTATAGCCACAACTATCGAAATACAAATTACTAGCCAATCGTTAAGTTTTCGTTAACACTTCTGTTAGTAATGATGACTAAACTTTTACGATGGTGAGCTGGCTCCCACGTGGCAGTCATCATATCATATTTTTTACGATGCTGACATGGCCTTCTACGTTAAAAATGTGAAAACAGTAACGGGCTGTTAGCCAAATCTTGACCAACAACAATAGTTATGGCTAATAATTTGTATTTCGATAATTGTGGCTATAATTCCCCGCTACTTAATAGTTATGGATAATATATTGTATTTACCCTAAAAACTATATAAAGGGGTCGTTCGGTTTTTGTGTTAGTTTAGTTAAGATAATTATAATGTATGCACAAACAATACATGCATTGTTTGGTTGTTACAACTATATCACATTGGTAGGAGATCATTTGCAAAAGGTGTATTCAGATATGTTTCTCTTTCCAAAGAGTGAATCCCTTTGGGGTTACTGACTTTTGTGGAAGAGTGAGAACCTAAACTACCTTCAAACCACACACGCACTAGCAAGCGAATGGGTGGATCGGTCAACTTGAGACTATAATATTTTTTTAAAAAAATAGCCATAATTCATTATGTGTTATCTTTTTTTTTTCTTAATGAAAAAGGATAACTCTCTTGAATTAATTATCTCCGACCGGAGATGGGTAATGCATGTAAGGGTTTCTGCTCCTATAAATAACAGCCCTCTCATACCCTCTAAACCCCCCACATGCAGAAAAAAGAAACAAGGAAAAAGAGCGCTATTTCATATCGTTCCAGCTTTCGCATAAACAGAGAGATAGAGAGAGTTGTTGTTTTATCCTCGGAAGCGACGGGTTTGTTGACTGCTGTTGTGGTCAATACGAGACAGTGACACGAACGCCTTCAACATAGCTACCTAGTCCGCGACTCAACCAGAACAGTAACTCTGATTTTTCCCTTGGTTGGTTTCTAACCCGAACATGCAAAGAAAATAATTGAAAGTATATTTGACATATCTCCTAACAAATCGAGTTATCGAAACTAATCGATTCTGAATCTGTGGGTTGCTTACCACTCCTCCTTCGAGCGCAAATTCGACCATAGGAACATGCTGCGAAGCTGCCGAAGAAGAAGCCAAGAGAAATGAAGGGCACGTGGCGCCTTTATTATTTTACTTTGGGCGTGGACAGCGGGGAATCTTGGGCTGGGTTTGGTTCGGAGATCATGATCGAACATGTTCAGAGATGGCGATGTGTAGGGAAGAAAGAAAAGTCAGCCGAACGAACAGCGTTCTTAGCCTGTACCTGGCTGCACCCAACCAAAACTAAAAAAACTGGGGCCCACCATGTATCAGAATCAAGACAAAGAGAATGGGAGGGAGACCACTTAACTAATTAATTAATTATTAATTACATTACATAATAAAAAAATTAGGCGGCCAAATATCTTGTCTTCTTGATCTTCATCAAACCATTTTGAAGTTTCCTTGAAATACGGTGTTTGTACTTATCACGCACGTTAATTGTGGTTTTATTTATTCCCATTGGCCTCGGTGCCGCAAATGGCGCGTGTTGATTAAGAGGACAAAGCTCCACGTGTCGACGGTACAGAAGGAGTTCTATTCGGACTTGCCGACTGTTTGGCGGATTCTCCCTTGATTTGCTGCTTACTTTAGAGAACCGTCAAAATTATTAGAGGTGGATGCCAGCTCAGCTTCACTCCCTGCCTCGTAGCTTTTACTTTGTTTGGGTCCCCTTTCAAAGCCACAGCTGAAGCTGGGTCCAGTCCGGTCCGGTCCGGTTCGAGATCAAGATTGTTAGTTCGGTTTTTTATTATTGGTCTCATCGAAAACGTGAGTTGAGAGTTAAAGATTGAATTAGTTTTGTCTGGTTTAATTCGATAGAACTCAAATATGTTGAAAAAAATCATGAAAATTACGTATTTGGAAAACACGACATCACTTCCATATCGAGTCACAGGTAGTGCCTTGGAACACACGAATAAGCTACATGCGCACGGAAACTTGCACGAGTGATTCTAAGAAAACCCACTTTTTTGTTATAATTTCTCGTGTTCGCAACAAAATTTAAGGTAACTAGAGTACTAGACGACGTTTATTTTAAACTCCACTACAATTATGAAGTTCAACTAAGATTCTACACACTTGACCAAGTCCGTATCAGACGAGTTATAGATGCAACATATTCCTCTTTAATTGAGAGGACTTATTCTTTAATGCTGTGGAACACTTTGGAAGAACTATAAATAGAATAAAGTTTTAGATTCTACGCTAAAACATGATATTCCTCCTTGAGAATTTAATCTGCATTGTTGTTTAACACCTGGAAGAATCATAAACAGAATATGATCGGTGTTTAAATGACACTCAACCAAATATGTCAAAATGTACATACACACACAAGTTGATAGGTCATGCTGGAGGAATGAGTGGGCACAATATTGGCCAAAGAATTCGCACTCCCCAAAAGTGTGATAGACTATCAACATGCAATATGTGTGTGCAATTAAATATTTGTGTTCTAGGTTATGAATTTACAAGGAGATATATATGCATATTTGTTTTCAAAAATAGTTTATGGGGTAAAGGATACGAATATGTCATTTGCAACCCATACAAAGTTCAAATAAAATAAAAAGGAATATGAAATTTTCCAAAATAAAAGCCTTTTTTTAATTAAAAGAGGCAAGCTTTGTGCTTGTAAGCCTTTGCATTCCAATGAACTAATAATTTTTTGGTAGCTTGGATGAACAATTTGTCACTTTGTTTAAGGTGAATTTTAATTGAGATTAAATGGATTTATATTTTCCCTGCTTTTTTTTAATGAGATTTTATTTACTTTGTTTTAACTTGGAGTAAATTTTTGTTTGAATAGATGGAACAAGTCATCTAAAATCGTATATATTTTCAATATATTTCAATAATTTTTTTTCATACCGTCCATAACACTTTGGTACAGTCTAGTACAACTCGATACGACATATGTTTTTCACAGGATTTTTTTTTGTCTAGAAGGCGTGACCTATTGTATCTAAAATTTACGGGGAAAAAAATTCAGGACCCATACCACTCATTACAAAATGATATACATTTTCAATATATTTTAGGATTTTTTTTTACCACCCATATCACTCTTTACCACCTCGATACAGTCTACTACCACTCTGTATCACATTTATTTTTCACTAATTTTTTTAATCTTGCCCATAAAGAACGAGTCCAGGTGACCTATTATATCTAAAATTTGTAGGGTGGATTTCAAGACCAAATATACCATCTTATACCATCCTTGTATAAGATAGTAACTGGTGGTATACGGTGATGACTAGGGGTGGGCATTGGGTGGGTCGGGTGGATTTTGACCATAAAATGCACCCATCCGCGTTTAAACGGATTGATAATTTTTAACCCACCACCCACCCACATTTAGCTTCGGGTTGGGTCGGGCGGATGGTGGATGATTTGGGTGGGTTTGTGGGTTCACCCACATCACGATGTATATAAAGGAGTCAACTTGACATGATAATAGGCGAAGGGAGTTATATGGGGAAACAAGAAGATGAAATAGGGCGAAAAATGTCGAATTAGTTCTTAAAATGGATAGAAATTCTATGATGAGAGAGTTTTCTACAGATTGAGATGATTATCAGGTGCAAGGAACTAAGAAAAATAATTCCACAAAGGAAAGAGCAGTGATCTAGGCACAAAAATTAGAGGAAAAAATAAAGGGAAGAAGAGGGGATCGCTATTTGGAAGGTTGGCTTTGAGGTTCAAACTCCAGGAGCAGTCCTAGTTTATGTCTAACGTCTTCACTCTCCCCTCTCTAGCTCCGACGACTTTGATCTTTTTGCTGTTGGGTTGAGCGGGTCACCCGCGCACCCACCCACCACCCGGCGGATGGCTCCCAGCGCAACCCGTCACCCACCCATAGACCCACCCACTTAACGAAATTCGGGTCAAATGCGGGTGGGTCGGCCCAAACCCGCGGATGATCCGCCCGTATGCCCAGCCCTAGTGATGACAAGTGGTAAATGACAGTTGGTATATTCCTATTATCATGTAAAACCATTGTACACTATGATATATTTATAATTTCACACCAACCATCATGGTACATTTTCATATCACATTGTATAATATTATGTACTACCAAACATTACCACTATGGGCGGGTAATAAATCTCTCCACTTTTTTTCCAACATAGATGTCATTTTTTGGAATGCAATATAGTAGACTTAGTATAATTAAAGAGTATTTCGACTCCACCCATTATTTCTATCCATTTTAACCGAAACACATGTAAAACAATTCAAAGTATATATAAATTTTATTGAATGGGTCAGGTTAACCACTTAATTTGTTTAAACATAAATAACGTTTTATGAAAGAAGGAAGAACTCTACTAATGCTTCCATCCTTCTTTGGCCATTTATGAATGTATATTTATATACAGGTGGAAATTGGTACGATATCGGCATACTAATACTAAATACCGAATTACACCCTAAATTCAATCATAATTTCTCCAAAATATTTTGGTATCCCAATTGGTACTTCGGTATCACAATCAATATTATCAAATGTGAAATTAATTACTTTGGAAATTAATAATTAAATATATAAACTAGATTTGATTGCTTAATTTAGGGCAAAGAGAGTAAACAAAGAGTCTTGAGTTTGCCTAGAGCTAGGATATGGATAAGGAGAATGAAGGAGATGTGACATCTCAAATTCTTGTTATTGATAATCTTTAATTTGATGAATTGGAGGCTGAGAGACGACTAATACTAGTGTTTGCCTTTTCGTGTTATGAAAATAACAAGAGATTAGGTGAGTGACGAGAGTGACTTAAACTGAAAAGTCAAAATTGAGTTGTATAGAGGCTTCTAAATTGTGAAAGAGTGAGGAATGACCAAATGTTGTGTGTTATATTTCATTAATTTTTAAATATCGGTATTTCTCAGTATTTTGGTATATATCGATCCCAATCTCGTAGTCCTGAATACCGAATAACACTTTAAATTGAATTCCAATCCCAATCCCTAAAAAATAAGCCGATATTTGATAATACCAAATAGTAATAAATTCGGTACGATATTCGGCGTATTCCAAATACCAATACCAAACATACATCATCCATATATGTACTATCTTCTGTTTTTTCATAAAAAAAACAAATATTGCAAAAAGGAAAAAAATAAAATATCAACAATTATCTCAAATTATTGGTTTTGTCAATTACGATAATTGGTTCCCACAAATCTAGACCAATGAAGTCTCCTCTCTTCTTCACTCACAAGACACACCACAAAGGCCCCAAAATCAAAAGATGACAACTCATGCAAAACAATTCAAAGTATATACAAATTTCCAAACTTACAACTTCTGGTATGCATGTATTTATTTATTTCGTATATATCCATAACAAAATACTAACGCTCCTGCCGGCCTTGGCCTTGACGAACTTAATATAACATTTTCATTTCATTTATTAAAATAAGTTTATGTTGGTCATTTTGGAATCATTTGAAGGTAGTAATAACCGATGTAATTTTTGCTTATGATAACGACTTCTTTTATCTTACTATGTTCGAAAATTATTATTATGAATGACTTGAACACAATTAATAACGACACGTGACATCATATGAAACGAGGTAAGTGGTGGACTTTAAATTTTTACTCAGAACTCAATTTTAAACGATAGTATTTTTGAGATTTCGATTGGTTAACTGAATAACCGAACCGAACCAACAGCTTTAAGCAGGATTTAAGGTTGAATTAATGAATTCCTTCGTAATAACATTTTTTGAAAGGCATTTTATTTTACATATATTCTTTAAATGACAAATAAGAAAGAAAATAAGAAAAAGAAGGTCGCAGTCGCACCTATAAAGCACTTCCATTGGGAAAATCGGAGGCAGGCCGACTTGATAGTTTGATACCAAAAACAAGAAAAATAATAAAAAAAAAACAATTTATTCGTTTTCATTTTCGTAATTAAAACGGAGAAAAAAGTGGGGAGGCGCTGTGGTTTGTGACCATTCTTTATTACCAAGTCCACAACCACCATAGGTTTCTTCCTCAGCTTCCTTCCACTCCTATAAATCCAATCCCTCCGCCGCGCCTCTCCCCTCTTCTCTCTCCACCCTCCCTCCTCCTCTACTCGTCGCGGAGGCGCCCCTTTTTTTCCGTTTAGGCCTTCCTTCTCTTCTCCCCGGAGGATTCCAACAGGTAATTCCCTCCTCCTGCGCTGTCCCGTATTTTTTTCCTGCTCTCTCATCTTCCCTACGGCGGCTCAGATCTGGATTTACTCTCTGGTTCCTTTCGCCGGCGGCGCGTTGTTTCTCAATTTTCACAGTCATAGCTTAGGAGTTGCCGGAGATGGAATCTCTAGGCTTGTAGCTCTAGATCAGATCCGTCGAGCTGTTTTTTTTTTCTTATTCTGTTTGTTTGTTCGTTCGTTTTTTATTTGTTTTGCGCGTTGAATTTGACTAATCTCTCTTGATTGAATTCTTATCCTGCGTATCTGTGTCCAATCCTTCCTTTCTACCTTATTTAATTTTCTGGATCTAGGGTTAGAGTTTCATTTCGCGGCTTTGTTTTTTGGTGAGCTGATTTCTGAATTTTGGGAGGATGTATGGATCTGATTGAGAAAAGTTGCGTGCTTTCTCCCTGATCCAAGGATTCTTTTGAGCTGGTGTCTGGAAAATGAACAATTTACTTTTCGTTTTTATTTTTTATTTTTTCAAGCTATTTTGTCCTCTGGCAGGAGAGGCACCATGATGATTGCTAACAACTGTTAGTTTTACGGGATCTGGTGAATCTCTTTGTTGATATGTCATTCTGGGTTGCTTTTTTTTTCCTGTGAATGAATTGGGTTGAGCTTGTTTGATCTACTGAGAACTTGTTGATTTTCCCTGATGGGGGGGAAGCCTTGTGGGGTTATGGTCTCTATGTTGTCAGAATTGGTTTCATAACTTTTCCTTGTGAAAGCTCAACCTGCGATTATGAACTAACGTTTTCATTTGGTGATGATTTGAGCAGGCGTTCTACTGTTGATTTTATTCAACGAAGATCGAAGATGAGTCAGTTTTATCTTCAGCAGAACGTCGTTGCCTCTTCCGATGAAGCAAGGGGTATGGTATCGATGTCTGACCTCAGGGGTCCTGTTGTCTGCCCCAAGCCTCGCCGAGTTGGAATCCTAGCTAACAACCCTGTCCGGCCTTTGCGGTGGCAATTGAGGTATGCCCACTTTCCCCTGATTTGCTATTGGGGCTGCTCTATACAGGTTGCATTTCAAACCTTTTGAAACCTCACATTTTGTGTTGATGTTTGTATTAATGTCAGTCATCAGGCGGATGGGGGCGACTTAAGTGCCGGGGCTGAGCTTTTGGACATTATTCTTAAGAAGGTAATTTACTTTCCTATCTGTACCCATTAACCTTGTATTGACCATTGATACATTATTGATTTGCTTGGTGCTTCTAGTGGACCTGTTCTTCGTTTTGGAGTGCACTCATCTTGTCTTGAATTAGTTTCTGTCGCATTGACTAAGATGGGTTTTGTTTCGTTTGGAACAGGAAGATCATGGGGCTGAGAAATCCGCCAGTCAGGTGGCTTCTTCACCTCCATATTTTTGTGGGTCTCCTCCGGTGAGGGCTGCGAATCCTTTGATTCGGGATGCTCAATTTAGGGACGAGAAGGTTTTCCAAAACCAGCCTTCTCCTTCATCAATGTTGTCTCCATCGGCGGCATCAGCACGCAAAGGAGGGGGTTGTGTGAGAATGAACTTTGGTTTCAAGCCAGCTGCAGTTAGAGTAGAAGGATTTGATTGCCTCAACAGGGATCGCCAGAATTCCAGCATCCCTGCTATGGCCTAGAAAAGTCTACATAAAAGAGAAGGAAAAAAATCGCCAAGTGTACATAGTGAGAGCGAGAGGGAGCTACAAAAGAAATGCGCCATCAGAGTCTCGAAGTAAAACATAAGAAGACTTATAAATTAACAAGAAGAGGGAGGAAGTTTGTACCTTTTTGGGAGAAGAAGAGTCGAAGTCGTGGAGATTAGTAATGGTTTCCTTGTGTATATATGATATTTGTGTTTTTGCTTTTTCACCAGGTGATCATCTTTCATCTTGGGCTGATGATATATTGTGTAAAGTAGGGAGAGAGTTGGATTTTGAAGAAGAACAAGAAAGGGCAGGAAGGCCCTAGGAGAGGCCTAGCTAGCTCTGTTGTAATATATAAGAGAAGGAAGGAAGGAAAGGCAGAAGGAAGAACACGCTTAGATTCTTGGAGGGTGACTTTTATTATTTAAGAGTATCGTTTTTGGTGATCACCATTGGAGATGTTATTCTTAATTCTGTATAGGGGAAGAAAGATCCTTTGGTGCTGGTGATTGAATTTTGGTTCAGTGCAACTGCAACTGCAACTGCAACCTCCCCTTGTAAAAATGTAATGTGGTCTTATTTGTGAATGGGGCTTGGTCGAAGTGTTATCATTTACTATATGACTTATTCTCATTGCTTGGATTTCGCTTCCAATTCGTCGTGGTTTAGTATTGGACATGTAGCAAACGAACATCAACAGGTCAAGTGGAAAACCGATAGCCTCTGTCAGTAGTAGGGTATTTTACGATGAAAATGAGCTACTAGTTTAGTCGTTGATTGTAAATTTTTCAGATCGAACACAGGTATGATTCGATTTTGCGAACACTTGCTGTTTGGCATGACGGATGGGGATGTATGTCGTATGATATGTAGACCCCATCAAAAAAAATTAATACGGTTTTGCCCACAAGTCTAGCGTTGTGGTGAGCGTTGGAGAAGAACATCAAATTCATAGTTGGGTTTTCGTGCACGCCATGTAGCTAGGATTTTTTTAGGGTCTTGTGGTTGCCATTGGAAATGGAAGTATACTACTCAGTAGCCAAGGGATTCATATTACATGCAAACAAAAAGTTCGGAGCTCTGAAGGGCACTGAACTATTCACCATTTCACCTAAGTAGTATTTGCTTACAAATTACAATAGATGACATCTGCACTCAACCTGTTGGTTGGTTTTGAGCAGGTGCTGGGCATAAAGCGGGCGTTGGAAGCTTGTTTAGTGCCTAATTAGGCGTCACCAAAGCGTATGTGTCTAGGTAGTGAAAGCAGAAAAATCAGTTAGTACTAAATGATGAATGAAATAGTTGTTTTACAATACTTTGACTTTAGCTCGGATGATTAATAACTTACATAATACTCAATAATGCGAAAAATAACTCACAAGTTCGTATAATTATAGCTCACAAAAAACTCTTGAGCTATTGAAAAGAATGTGTTTGTAGATCATGCTAATTTCTTCATATTTATATTGGTCGTTTAGCTCTCCCTAATTACACATAGACGACATCTAGGTGTCACTGTACTCCACTGCCGCATTCTGGATTTCTAACTCACCACGAAACCTCTAGACATGGTATTTTAGTATTGGTTAAGCGTAGACGTGCCTTTTTGAATCCTGATTTTTAGATTAAGTTGTTTGAATCCTTTCAGACAAAAGAACAAACAAGAAGCAAGCAAACAGATACCCTTGATTCAAACTTCGAACATTTCTTAAGTAATTGCATAAGATAGTAAAAAAAAAATGCCGGTGAGCTATTTATCATATTAGTAGCATTGAAGACTGCATGTAACATTTCGAACCTTTTACCGACGAAGATATTGTCCGTTTTAGGCCTCGATCCTCACGGTTTTCAACTTGGGGTGCAATTCAAGGTGACTTCCCATAAGGTCACTCATCCTTGTTGTATTCCACACTGAGCATATCAAATTTGGAGTTCTCACAAGAGCTCCTCCATTTCACCCTAAAATGCGTCTTGTTAGTTAAGGCCAGTTTCTTACTTATTAATGGATCTCTCCCGTGTTTTGTCGATGTGGGATTCGCCTAAGGTGTTACATATCCCCCCCCTCCCGACTCAACGCCCTCGTTGAGGTGTGCCCCATCATAGTCCAAGAGGGACGCGGAGAGGCTCTGATACCACTTGTAACATCCCGAACCTTTTCCCGACGAAGATATTGTCCGCTCTGCGCCTCGACCCTCACGGTATTCAACTTGAGGTGCAATTCAATGTGACTTCCCATAAGGTCACTCATCTTTGTTGTACTCCACACTGAGCACGTTTAACTTAGGTTCTCTCAAGAACTCCTCCATTTCATCATAATACGCGTCTTGTCAATTAATGCCTATTTTTTACTTATAAATTATAGATCTCTCATGCGCTTTGTCGATGTGGAATTCGCCTAAAGTATTAGGCTGAATGCCATCTACTAAATTTTGGGTAACAAAAAATGCCGGTAACAATAGGGGTGGGCATTGGGTGGATCCGTTGGATTTTGACAATAAAATGCACCCACCCGCGCTTAAACGGATTGATAAGTTTTAACCCACCACCCACCCACATTTACTCTCGGATTGGGTCGGGCGGATGGTGGATGATGCGGGTGGGTTTGTGGGTTCATCCACATCACAATGTATATTTCTAAAAATTTAATTATCGTTTTTATAATTATAGTTTTTTCTGATAATGATGTGTAATTTCTAAAAATTTAATTTTTATTTTTTAATTATTTTTTATTTGCCACGTCACACATTTAACGGTCAACTGTCAGAGTTGACCGCCACGTCAGTCAAAGTTAACGGAGAGTGACCGAACTTGAACTGTTCAACTAATTCGAGTGACTATAAATGGAATAAATTAATTTGAGTGGCAAACGTGAAATTTTATAGCAATTCGAGTGACCAAACTTGCAATTAAGCCAGGCAATAAATAACTAACCAACACATTTTTGCAATTGAACTTAAATTAATGTAGATGACACCATAACCTAATATGGTGTGGTTATAGAGACCACTTAATTATATTTTAACTCTATATATATATATATATAAAATTACCCTTATTTTATTGATATTTTACAATTTGATCTCTATCTTTTTATACATATGAATAAGTATCCTTGGTGGGGCAGATATGGGTATGGGTATATGGGGTGGAGGAGTTTAAAATCATACTCACCCCATCCCCATTAGAAACTTTGTGAGTTTTACCCGTACACGCCCTGTACCCAGTCAATGCATAGATTCCCTGCAGGATCAGAAGTGGTCGGGTACCCATTGTTGTGGGTTTGATTGTCACCCCTCCTTTTGCTTATCCTTGGGACGAAATTAAATTAATGAAGGCAACTATTGATTGTACTATTTTAATTAAGAAATGAGATTAGATGCTAATTCCCTAAGCGACGAACACCATGCCAACTAAGTTAACAGACTTTAGATTAAAATAATAATTCATAAACCAAAAATTAATTGGAGAATAGTTTAGTCAATATCCACGCAAACGCTAATATACATATTAATTTTAGAGGTCCTTTGGAAGTTGTGATTTCAAATGGTGTATTGAGCTAATTCATGTATTTGTGAGATTAAGTAATTTTTTTGGCTTATATTGAACTATAATACATGCATTTACTTTTTGGAGGCCGCACCACAATCACTCAAATTTGAGGGATTATCAATCTCTACTTTTTGTTGAGATTCTTCACAATCACTCAAAATTTAACTTTTGTAGCTTTGCAACAAAAACACAATATAAACCTCCAAACAAAATAGTTGCGGGTTTGATTGCCATCCCTGCTTTTGCTTATCCTTGGGACAAAATTAAATTAAGAAATGAGGTTAGAGGCTAATTCCCTAAGCGACGGACACCATGCCAACTAAGTTAACAGACTTTAGATTAAAATAATAATTCCTAAATCAAAATTAATTGGAGAATAGTTTAGTCAATATTCACGCAAACGCTGATATACATATTAATTGGAGATTAAACACGAACCCATCTCTCCTTTTTCCCACGAACCCACATCTCGCTCTGTCTCCTCTCTCTCTCTCTCTCTAAACCCATTCCCTCTCTTCTCTAATCTCCACATCTGACCTCTTCCTCAACATTGTGCTATTCCACGACTCATGGTGTCGTAAAAACCATAGTGCTTAGCAGTGACGGATCAAAGACATAGTAAAGCACTAGGCTGCATTTTATTCGAAAATTAGATATTAAAAAGCACTCTGCCTCTCTCTCTCGCGCATGCATGAGAAATCAATTGGCGGCGACGGGATGCACCGCGATGATGATTTGGGTGCGAGAAAGATGTTTCACTGGGGAAGAACATAAAGTTCTCGGGAGGAAAGAGCGTCATGCAACAGTGTCGCTTTGTCCTCTGCTAGAGATGAAACTAGGGGAGGAAAACGGTGTGGTCCGTATCAGACTAGATTATAGACACGATTTTGTGGTCTAGATCGAGAAGTAGGGACACAAATCATAGACCGGATCATATACTATACGGTCCAGACCAGACCACGTCTGTGTGGTGCGATTGGGTACGGTCTGGACCAGGCAAACCATGTTAAAAAAAATTCACTCTTGTTCCGCCCTCCAATCCTTCACCGGTATCTATAAAAATAAAAATTCCAGTGACCAATATGCTAGTGAAACAAAAAATTTGTGATCGTAATTAAATGAGAAGAAATATATGAGAATAGAAGTGGGGTTTTTTCAAATTTCAAATTTCAAACTCTCACTCCAATCTCCACGACTCTATCAAGTATCACTTAAAAAACACACACATCAAATAGCCTTGTTTTCCTATCCCTCTTTGTGCTATCGCTTCTCTCCCTCTCTCGGGTGATCCGAAAGTTCTCGCGGTTGATAATCTTTGTGATGACGTCGAGGTCGTTTTGAACCACTAAGATGGTCGCTTTTCTCTCAATAATTTTCCTTATCTCATCAAGGTGAATAAATTTTTTCTAGTGTTTATGTCTTATCGACTCCATAGTCTAGACATTGTCGGTAAATATTATTTAAGAATCTTTTTGGTTTTTGTGTGGTTCTTTGATATGGAGATAACGCATAAGCGATCATTTGGGCAATTAGTTGGCTCTAAACTGGATGAAGAATCAATTAACTTTGTTTTTCAAATACACATATGGAGGTTTACTTTAGTGTTATTTTGATCGAAGTTAGTAGGTAGTGTGTCGCGGTCTGTTACGGTTTACTGTGGTAGACCATGGTCCAGACCATTTCAGACCACACACTAAAAGAGGAGACCGCAAACCAGACCAGACTATAGTTCTAGTCTCACGGTCCAGACCAAACCATACGATACGGTCTAGACCAGTAGACCGTGGTTCCCTATACGGTTTGGTCTAGATTCACAGCCCTAGATGAAACCACATTTTGGTCTCAGTTTATGCATATGGGAATTTCAACCGTTATTTTTGAAGATTGGGTACGCATTCAAGAAGCAACTATGGTAACCAGTTAGCTAGTTAGATAGTTCCCTTTTCCGATAACGGTAGCGGACAGTAGCTTGACACTAATAGATTTATTGATAATTAATCGACTAACCAATTACTGGTTAATCTGATAACCAACCGATTGCCGCGTCCCGTCCCATACTCTATCTATCGGTCTCGACTAAATCAATCGCTTTGCTGAAACACTTTCCCTGCTTTAGCCATTATTCAAACTTAGGAAAGAAAGTAAAGGTTGTATCTAACCGATTGCCGCACCCCTACCCAGGGGCGGAGCCACATGTGGCCAAGGTGGGTCATTTGCACCATTTTGCCCCAAAAATTATGGAGTAATTGTATTTATACAATTGTTGATTGAATACAAGATCTCTATATTATTGTAGATAGTTTTACAAGAACTCAAAACTGAGGGGGTGTTTGTTGCTATCGGTTGTCATTGAGGAGTTGAAAGAGCATTTACTGAAATAAGCAAGTAAAGAAACACTTCTAAGTAATCCAAGTTATGAAATCATGAACAATTTTTTTTTTTTGTATCTTAATATCCCTCATAATTTACATGATAAATGTATTTTAAATTTTTTTTTTCATCCTGAAACATATATTAGATATATTTCTGGCTATTGCACCTACCCACCCGTCCTGATTTAAATGCCTGGCTCCGAAGAAATTAAACCACACAATCCATCTAGCCTTGTCCGTAGTGGAGAATAGATCTCATGCATTTATCGTCGTCGGCAACAGAAGCACTTGATCAATTTTTTTTTTAATTTTTTTTTATGCACATCTCCATCCCCCCCACCTAAAAAAGAAAAAGGGAAACGACTCTATCTGTAAATTTAATGGAAGCATGCAGAAATAAAGCAGAGGATTACGGAAGGCGGCAGCAGCAGCAAGGAAATAATTCTCCAAACCCTTCACCTATCCCCCACCAATTTTTTTTTTTATATATATATACAAAAACACTCACTAGCTCGATCCTCATCACCAAAAAACTATATATTCTCTTCTTCTCATCATGAATTACTCGGCCCTTCTATAAACAATTATTAATCCTATATATAATCATCATCAATATTACTCTAATTGATTGATTGATTAATTAATTATAATTAACCCGTGCCGACTCTCTGTGTGTGCGTGCGCTCGCGGTGGTGATAAATAGGGGAGAAAGAGGAAATTAAGGACGGAGAGATCAGATGAGGCGGGGAGAAAGCTTAGCTGACGCCAGGCTTGCCGGCGGTATATACGCCCGGCCACGCTCCGGCAGCCGCGCCGCCGCCTCTTCGTCTCCGTCCTCTTCCTCTGTTTCGGTGCAGAATAACAAGAGAAATAGCGGTAGTGAAATAGTAATCGACACGACGGTGTCGATGGAGGCAGAGGCGGAGGCGTGGGCGGCGCTGGAGCTCCAGCCGCAGCCGGCGCCGGAAGTAGTGGCGGCGGCGCCGCCGTCGTGGTGGGAGGTGGAGGGCAGTACTGATCCGCTGCAGCTGACTTACGAGGAGGAATGGGCTCTGTTTGGAATGGGGCGGCAAAGCAGTGCTGATACGACGGCGTATGAGGAGGATGATTCCAGCAGCTGGCGGATTGATCCTATCTGGAACTTCAACCCTACGGAAGCTGCTGCACCTGCTGATGCTGCTGCCACCATCAACAGTAAAAAATTAAGCCATCCCTAGCTCTGTGTGTGTCATGCAACTCCGTAATGTAAGAATGAATTACGTATATAACGTATGGTTTCTGAATCCCTCTCTCTCTCTCTCTCTCTGTGGGTCTGTCTGTCTGCATCATGGCGGAACTTTCTATGCTTTTCTGTGAATGCTGAAAATAAAATCATGCAATTTACTGTCCAGCCAGTTTCCTTTGTGTTGGACTAGCTACTCTGTTTTCCTTGCATATGTTTCCCACCCCCCAGAAAACCAATTATGGGTACTGGAATGGATGCTTTAGAGTTCGTTTGCTGGTAGGATTTTAGAAAAACAAAGGATTTAGGTAAAACCTTGGATTTTATGGATGAAAGATTATGTGGGATTTTGTTACTTTGGATTTGTGTTGGATTTTTTAAAAAGTACATGTTTGCTTGTTGGATTTTCATATTGGATTTATCATGTCCATGTGATTTATCAATTATAGGCTGAATATTACATTTGTATCCATAATGATGTGTGTCTTTAATGTTTCAATATAGGAAATATTTAAAAGAGATGAGGGTAGACCTGTTATTTACCATCATGGATTTTAGACTCACACAAAATCCATCAATTTTGTCCTGGTTGGTACTGACCCAATTCTACTTTTTAACCCTTTCTTACTTGGATTATTTCCCTAAATACAGTAAAAATTAAAAGTAACTCCCATAATACATCACTTTTATAAATATTTCCCAAACTACCAAAGTTTCAACTAGTTCGAGTTTAGCAAACTCGAACTAGTACGAGACCGATTGACAAAGGATCGATCGAAGTGCATCGAGCGAAACAGCCACGATTGGCTGGCAAAGGACGACGCGGGTCGAGTGTGTTAAACTCGATTTACGTCGATCGAGTACAAAAGACTCGAACAAAATGACCTGGATCGCTGACATATGCATCGCTCCACCGTAGATCGAGGTAAAGGGGATCGATCTCCATCGTTCGATGGCCACATCCGCGATGAAGTGGTGACGTGGATCGAGTGGGGGGAACTCGATGCAGGAGGATCGAGCGCCTCAGAATCGATCTGATTGACGCAGATCGATGACATCAGACCCGCTCCACCGTAGATCGAGTTTGCTTAACTCGATCTGGGTCGTTCGATTTGGGAACACTCGAACTCCTTCTGACGCGGATCGAAGGCAGCAAAATCGATGCCGTGGTTCGAGTCTCCTAAACTCGATCCACCTCCTCCCACTGCACCTATAAATACCCCCTTCCATTCCACCAAATCTCACACCACTCCATTCTTCTTCCTCTCTTCCTCCCACCACTCTTGAAGAAAAAAAAAATGCTCTGTGGTTGCGGCTAAGCCCGATCTTCGGCATCAGATTTTTTCTCTTTAGTTTGGTACTTCTATCACTCAAAATTGTCGAGATGGATCCGAGTATTTACGATCCTAGATTATACATTCAAGGAGGACCGCGAGTAACTGATTTGTTGATTGAGCAACCTTACCATCGGTCTGAAAGTGTTTGGGCGGCAGATCTAATTTTTTTTTTGTATAATAATTAATATTTTTTTTCTACAGGAACAACTTGACGTAATCACCCATCGGTCGCTATCTCGCTTGCCTAAATGGGATGATCGTATCGAGCCCTTCATTGAAAGAGCGCGATTGCTGAGGGTACGAAAGTTTGTGGGGATGGAGATGACAACAACCTTCTTACAGCAACGGTGGAAAGATGGAGAAAAGAAACACACATATTCCACCTTCCAGAGGGAGAGATGACAATTACGTTGAAGGACGTAGCCATGCTGATAGAGCTTCCAATCGATGGTGATGCAATAATAGAAAGTTCACAGAAACCATTGAATGGTTGATGCCAATTTATAAGCGAGAGTTTAGGTATCAACATCCCCGAGGAAGCACAAGAAGGTCATCGTGTACCACCTCTACAAAAGTCTATGCTATTGATACCTTGGCTAGTGAGGACCGTTGGGGAATTACCGGAGGATGCCACAGATGCTCAGATAGAGTGGTATGCTCGCATCTACCTGATTTGTTTGGTTGGATGATTTTTGTTTCCGAACAAGTCTGGTGGAAATATGAATTGTATGTGGCTTCGAGTTCTTTTGGAATATTGGGTCGAGATTGGGAGGAAAAGGTTGGAGATCTGCTTGTTTGGCGATGATATATTCGGAGTTGTGCAAGTGTACGGATCCGAAAACAAAGCAAGCGGGTGGTCCCATGTTCATCCTCCAACTATGGGTTTGGGAGCACCTTCTTACTTTCGCTCCGATCTGCCCTGCCAACAGTTGGGGGCCCGATGAGCCACTACGACAATGGGCTTATGGTGCTAGATAATGGGTTCAACTTGGATTATTGGCAGACAATGGGTGAAACCATCAATGCATGGTTTGAATGCCCAAAATAGTCGTTTAAAGTTTAAACACGCGTTTAGCACCCCAATAGAAATCTTCGTAACTAGGCACAAAAACAGACCCAGGATTCTTGTCCACCATTGCAAGAATCAAACGAGGCATGTTAGCAAATGACTCTTCCCAATCGCCATACACCTCTGCCATAGCTTTTTGCTTCCCATGCCATGCTTTCTTGTAACTGATGGTATAGCCATGTCGATTCTTCACTTCAGCAATGATACTCTTCACGGTGATCCCAGGTTGTACCTCAATTAGATGTTTGATTGTTTGTGCAACCTTCCTTGCACTCAATTATCGATGATCTAGAGAAATCAGTGACGACCTACAAGTGTGGTTGTTGTCTGTCTTACGAATGAGCCAAGCTCCATTTCTTTTAACATATGCCGCCCGAACATGCCACATGCATCCGTCGCCATGGTTCTCGCAACAAACATGAATTTGTTTAGTGTCAGAAGTGATGATGACACGATTTTGAAACCTTCTTCGCATAGCAGTTTCTTTCAATGCATCGACCACCTGAGGCTTTCCTCCAAATGTTTGGCCAACCACGAATCCAGAATCAGGAGTCCAGATAGGAATAGGAGGGAGGTCAGGATCGTCGTTGTGAGCATAGAGAGGATGTTGTGACACCATCGTGTAGTGAGGTGTGGAGGGCTCAAATTCCCCCTCATCAACTTCCAGATCTTCACCATCTGAACTACTCATTGATTCTAACTCTTCGTCTTCCACGTCGCTTGCCTCGCTAGTGTATGGCGGACTCACATACGAATCATTGTTGATGCCAGATGCTGGTGTAGATGCTTGTCTGGGTGACTGTCTGGGTGCCCTTATGTAATCCCATTCTTCACCCCATACTGGCCACTCCTGTCCGTCATGTTCCACCAATGGACCAGTTGCAGTTCGATCCTCGTATGTTGGCCATGGTGCATCATGCAGAACTCTAAAATCTCCTGAACCGGAAAACCCTCCTGATCCTTCACCTTGTTCGGTATAACCGCCCCCACCATATTGGCCAACAATTTCTGTCTCGACATACACCTCAGCAGTTGGACATATGTTCTCTGCAATAAATATCACCATCATATTAATGTCATCATCGTCAGAAAAAACTGATCCTTCATATACAAGTGCATAATCCTTGTAAACCGGCATACGGTAAGTCATCTTGCATACTCTTCGCCCTCCTATGCAACATCGTTCCGCACAAATATGGCTGAGTTCTTGCCAAGTAAATATGCTAAATATGCTCTCAATCCGTACAGTACTTGATTCACCATCTTCGTAGTCAATACTATCATGAAAATGTGTAATTCGACCATTCCACCGAATCAATAAGTCAAATTTTCGAAATTTTCTACCAATTTCTGCAGTTTATAGAAGCAGCTCATTACATACAGTACAACCAATACTAAATTAATCCAAAATTCTAATATGCTCATTCAAACAACGCAAGCAGAACTTACCTCCAAAAAATTTCTTCTTTGCTCAGCTATGGTGCTCCAGCTGCTGCAGTTTGTGTTTGGAAGAAAGAAGATAGAAAGTAAAAGAGCTGCCAGAATGTTCTAAGTGATGGCTTTTTATCCTCGTAAACTGATGCAGTGGTTCGAGTCCAAAAAACTCGAATTACAATAGTTCGAGTCCATTAAACTCGATCTAGGGCAATCAATAATTTTACCCCTGCACCCTATTCTGGAGCATGTCGGACCGAAAGCGACTGGACAAAATGATTGAGCAATGGTTCGAGTTTAGTCTAATCGAACTACACTAGTTCGAGTCCCTAGAACTCGATCTTTGCCAACAAAAAATCTTATCCCTGCAACCCTATCCTGACACGTCGGTTGACCAGTAGTTCGAGGCCATAGGAATCGATCTATATGGTTCGAGTTTTAAGGCATCGATCTTATGCAGATATGGATCAAGGATTCTTAAGTCGTTTACTAGATCGAGTTTATTGGCATCGATCGTGGTGGATCGAGTTGTCCAAACTCGAACTAGTGTGATCGAGTTGTCCAAACTCGAACTACATATGATCGAGTTTTAGGAACTCGATGTGATTCTAGTTCGAGTTCTTCATCGTCGAACTAGGTTGTTATTCGAGTTTATGGAACTCGAACCCCTTGAAACTTGGATGTTTTGGGAAAATTTTATAAAAGTTATGTATTATGGGAATTATGTTTAATTTTTACTGTATTCTGAGAATTCTTCCTTCTTACTTTTACACCCTTCCTTCCTTCTCTTGAAATCAGACGATGTATGATTCTTCAAACTTTTTATGGGCGCAAGATTGAGAAGGATAAGGAGAGTGGAATTTCTTCAACTCTGTATGAGTTTCCTTACGCCAATATATTTTACTTAGCTCAAAGTGACAATTCCTATACTTATTGGTGATCGAGTTCAAGTTGAACAATAATAACTATCTTCTTCGAAGCGAGTCAATGAAAATTGATTTGCACACTCAGAAAAAGTTAGGCTTTGTCCTAGGCACAATTGAGATGCCTTCCATTTTCTAATCCTTGTTATTGAACATGGAATCGAGTGAATAATATTGTGGTTTATTGGACAAGAAATTATGAATTAGAGCATATCGTCCCTGGTTTGAGGAATATCAAAGTTGCATTAGGGGCATGGAATCGACCTTGCTAAACATGGAAATCATACCATTAAACAATATGTCAACCTCATGAAACTATTGTCCGATGAGCATTAGAATTACTTTCATGTTCCTTATGGTGATTGTGCCTATAGGACATAAGAAACTGTTATGAGGTGTCAAGAACAATAATTCGGTTTTTGCTTGAATTGAATAAAAGTATCAACATGTCCCAACACAAAATCTTAACTTAGATCCACTTTCATTATCTAATAAATAACTTCATCCATTATGTTGATCTAACCCCTCCTGAAAATTGTGACTTATTGTTTTTTTTTTAATAAAAGATAATGATATTGATTGATAAGAGATCATAAATTATATCCTAAACCCAACTCAGGCACGGAAATCATACAATCGACACATAGCCGGAGACAAATAAAGAACTTTTCTTGCCACATAATGGGCTATCCTATTGCTATTCCGACCTACGAACCAAACTTGAAACCCACTATTCAGACCCATTAGACTGAGGATCTCACTAATAATAACCCCAACACGACTATCCCGCATATCTTTGGCAATTATCTTATCAATGAGTATTTTCGCATCACCTTCAAACTGAACTTGAGGGATGGCCAGAGTCTGACACCACTGAATAACTTCACGGAGGACAATAGTCTCAACCACAAGGGGATCGACAATATCATCAAACCTCAACCCTTTCGCTAGGACCACACACCCACCTTCATCCTTAATGACCAACCCTCCCGCTCCATGTGAGCCAGACCGTACCGCACCGTCCTACATACAGACAAAGGGTGGCACTGAGACCTCCTCTTGATTGTGAATGCAAAAGATCCCGGCCCTGGCCCAATCTATCCACCGGTAACGATACCCACTCATGCAACCTACTGCCCAATCAGACTAAAAACACCGGACCCCAAACGATAAGCAATTTAAGCAACATAAAATGGTTGAGCGCAAATTAAACCATGATTTTAATACTACCACCGATTTTTCTAGTATAATCTCTGGTGGAATTTCACAATCCTTCAAAACTCTAGGTAAGATACTGCAAAGAGGAAAGGCCATTCCAATGGATGGCAGTCATTTTACTCCATCAACTTTGCTATTATTCTGACCATATTCACATGATTCCATCACATTCCGTTGCTTGGGCTTCATGCCCCAACGAATAAAAGAAAACACCCCGCCCCGGATCTACCCAAGCCCAAGACCCACAACTGTTACATATATCACAAAACAAAAGGGAAAACCCAAGCCCAACCTCGGGTAGGAAGCTCCAGCCCGGACACAAAAGCCCGTTCAGCCGGCCCAACTCTTCACCCAAGCCCAACTCCTTTGTACATTGATAATTTACTGCAAACTAAAAGAGAATAACAAGCATCCGTCTTCACTCTGCTAAAAAAAAAAATGGCAAGAGCAAAATGGGAAACAAACAAAACAATGAATGAATGAATACACAATTCAACAAATTGGCGATCGAATCACCAAATTTCCTCCGCATTTCACGTTTTCTCCAGGCAGTACTTGAGATCCAGCGAGATCTGGCGCTCGATCTGAAGCTGCCGCCGGAAATTCGCGATGAACATCTCCGCCCGATCGTTGATGTCGTCCTCCATCGAGAATCGCCGGCTTATCGCTCTCCGAAGCTCCACTTTCTTCGGAGCAGCAGCGGACGCATCGGCCGCCGCCGGCGGAGGAGGAGAGTACCAATAACCCGAATCCGAATCCGCCGCCGCCGCCGCCTCGTCATAATCCTCGTACGCCGCCGTCAGCCCCGGCCGATCCCCGAAGCTAATCACACGCGAAGGACCAATCGAGGAAGAAGAGCGCAGCAGAGACGACGCCAGACGCCAGACGTGGAAATCGAACTTTAGTATCACCCTCAGTTTGCTCACCGCTCGCTTCAACCTGCCGAACAAAACCCACCGTCGCTCTTCCCTGCCGCTCGACATTGCTAAGGATTTAGGGAAGGTATTTTTTTTAATTAAGTTGTGATTATGGTGGATTGGTGGCGATGATCGTATTTATAGGGCGCCCGAATTGAAATTGAAATTGAAAAAAATTGGGGGGGATTGAGTATGCGTATCAAATAAGAGGACCGCGTGATGATAGAGGCTGCGGAATTTACCAACTGGCTTACGCCGAAAGTTTTGTTCCATTCAACGTTAAAACATAAGCTGCCGCTAAGGATTGCTACAAGAAAGAAACTGTGGGGAATTTTCGCGAGGAGAATTAGAATTAGAAGACGACGACGACGACGACGACACTGAGTCAAACTGCTGAAATTGTCTACGTATCAGATCAGAGATATATTATTTTATACAATAATAAAACTATCAGGATATTGAGAAATGGCGGCTATTTTACACTCAGGACAGGGTCGGATCGGGAATATCGAGCGCTCTATCCGAAATTGGTTGGCGGTTTAGCGTTATAATATGAATGAAGTACGACGAAACCACAAATTAAGTATATAATCTCTAGTAAGAATGGGCAACTATTCAATACACACCGGATCGAATAGTACGGAATCGATATTTGGTCCAAATCGGATCGGATTGGATGTGTTGAGGATATTAATTATTTAGTCAAAAATAATTAATTCCTTGTCTTCCAAGTCCCTTGTTTCCTTGTCCTTGTCAAAGAAGGAAACTTGGTTGTCATTAGGGTTTTAACCCTACGTCTATCTCTATATAAGCTTAGCTACGAACATGTCGTAAGCAAGCCGTCAAGATGTAGTCGTATAATAAAACATCAGTCGTGAGCTCGTTCCGAGCTCACCGTGGATTAGTCTCGATCAATCAATTGATCGAGGATACCACGTAAAATCCCTTGTGTTCTGTGTTCGTTTCAATTCCGCGTTATCAAATTCTACATGGTATCAGAGCTAAACTCGATCCCTTATCTAGGGTTTTGAGCTTCCGCAGTCAAGGCGAAGTCCAGCCCGCCGTCAGTCAATCTCTCAAGCCACCGGCGGTAGTCAACTCCATCTTGGCGTCTCCCCAACATCACCCCGGCGTCCCGTCGATAGTCATGGTTGTCGTTGAAAGAAGAGTCGATGTCCACTCCGACCTTCTACTCTGGATCCGTATCAAAGTGGGCGAAGTCCTTCCCGCTGCAGTCAAGAACGAGATCTCTAGTCCGCCGTCGTCGTCATCATCGATTGTGCTCTTGTTATCAATCGTCGTCCTTGTCACGGCTGGTCGTCATCATCACCAGTCACCGAACGACGAGAATGCTAAGAGGAACGGCGGAGAGACGGTCTGTTTCGGATCCAAGTCGTTCAAGCCTCCTCGGTGTTTGTCGCAGCGTCGCCTTGCATCGAGGCGCCTTCGTCATCGTCATGTTCAGCAGTCATCAATCGAGCGGGCTTGTCCGTCTCCAGTAAATTCCACAGGGTCTTCTACCCGTCGTTCTTCCTCGGTTGCTTATATATCGACGGATACTGCTGAAGTTTACAGCCCACTTGGTGTCGATGCCGTCGTCAATCGTCAAAGATGGGGTCCTGTCTTTTAGTTGGAGTTTTGTCACAAGTGGCCATCGTCGAGGTCATCAGTCGAGGCATCAACCGTGAGACACCTTCGTCAATCTTGGGTTCCCGGCGTTCATCCTTCAGTCAGGAAGCAAGGTCAACTCATGGCCTGTTTTTCATTCCGACGTCGCCTTGAGCGTCCTCGCCTGTCCTCTCCTGCTGGATAAGGCCTTGAAGTTGCCCCGCATCAGTGCCCTCGCCAGTCCTTCTTTCTCACGGGTCCGTCAGCCCGGGTCATTGCATCATCATCATCGCAGTCGTCAGTAGAGGTTGCTTGGATCCGAGCTCCCGCCAACGCCAACGCCACCATCATCGCCAGCCAGACAACTCGTCGTCAAGTTAATCTCACCATCATCATCCGCGGTGGGATTTTTGTTTTTTAGTAACTGATCCAACCGAGCAGCATATCGGGCCACCCCGATGTCAGAATCCACCATCGCTTGCCAATGCTCCAATAGTTAGAGGAGAAGGCTTGGTTGGTCGTCAAAAGGATTGTCCATTGGGGCTGTAGTCTTCACCAAGGTCACGTGGAATTCAAAAGTTGCATGGAAAGTGGACTTCTATCAATGGTTTATTTGCAGCTCATGGGAATTCAACGTTAAGTCGAAGGCAGCCACCGTCATTGCAAAGTTGGATTTTTCGGGTATGCAATTTCATTGTTGAAGTTGCATTCTTCTCATTTGTTGAACGGTGTTCGTCAAGCAACTCTTCACCAACATCAAAGTCATGGCATTGAAGATAATCGTGACCTGCTGTTGTCGCCCCTTCAATAGCTAGTGTTGGGAATATAGAGAAGCTCTCGTTAACAAAGTTTTATCAAGTCATACAACGAGGTAGTCACGATCCAAGGAGTGATCGTCCCCTCGATGTTCAGAATCAGGTAAATTTCAGTCTTCATCCTTTTAACTTTCAAGCTGGGCATTCACATCGTTCATGCGTCAGCTTGAGGGGGAGAATAGGGAGTCAAGTCGTTCAGGAGATGCAGTCAACCATCTCCACCATATCATACGGATAGACGTAGTCAATCGTCTCCGTCAAGTCATTCAAGAGACGCAGTCAACCGTCTCTGTCAGGTCGTTCAAGAGACGCAATCAACCGTCTCCGCGCGACGTTCAAGAAGATGCAGTCAACCATCTTCATTAGGTTGTTCAAGGGAGAGAGTCAATCGTCTCCAAATCAACCTCGTCCGATCATCTCGAGTTTTGTTGTTCAAGCTTGTCATGCTTGTTCGTCACATTTCCTTTTTCAAGCTCGACATTCTTGTCACTCATGTCTTCGCTTGAGGGGGAGTGTTGAGGATATTAATTATTTAGTCAAAAATAATTAATTCCTTGTCTTCCAAGTCCCTTGTTTCCTTGTCCTTGTCAAAGAAGGAAACTTGGTTGTCATTAGGGTTTTAACCCTACGTCTATCTCTATATAAGCTTAGCTACGAACATGTCGTAAGCAAGCCGTCAAGATGTAGTCGTATAATAAAACATCAGTCGTGAGCTCGTTCCGAGCTCACCGTGGATTAGTCTCGATCAATCAATCGATCGAGGATACCACGTAAAATCCCTTGTGTTCTGTGTTCGTTTCAATTCTGTGTTCTGTGTTCGTAGCTAAGCTTATATAGAGATAGACGTAGGGTTAAAACCCTAATGACAACCAAGTTTCCTTCTTTGACAAGGACAAGGAAACAAGGGACTTGGAAGACAAGGAATTAATTATTTTTGACTAAATAATTAATATCCTCAACAGGATGGAATATATTTCTATTAGATTTGATTCCTATAAATTATTTTTAAGTATGAAGAAGAAACGAACCGAAATTGAATTTGGACCAAACCAAATGAACCAAACATGCTTTTGATCAGGTTTTGGTCCCCAATTTTCCTTTATAATCCTAAGTCAATTCGATCCGATTTAGGTCCGAAGAGCTGCCATTCCAAAATTTGAGTAAGATTTCACAATGTTGTAAATTGTAGAAGTAGGAGGCCTCGTGCTTAATCCTCAATTAAGAATTAGTAATTGAGGGTGAACATTAATATACGTATTGGCTCGCCAAATATTTTATCTAAAACTTGCTCCCAAAGCATGTTTTGGACATTCCCATCAGAGATGTCAACATTAATTAATATATGCATGCCACAGGATTATTCCCTTGCTTTTGCCTAATCTTTGCTGTCACTTGTGGACTAGAGAAAATGCCGTGGAAAAGCTATCTACCTTCTACCAGCTTAGCTGGAATTTGATACATCCTTTTCTTCTTCAATATGGATTACATTATCGTTGACAATATAATTGACTTTTACCTAATTCTAGCTATATGGCTTGCATCTAGGATCACTTAAAGTTACCAAATCCATTAACCTGCTTAATAACGATAAACTACATCCGTACGGTTACGTAAATGTTCACGTATACTATATTTTTTGCAACACACAAAATTAAAACTCATGTAAACACATGTAATTATCATAGCCGACATAATATATCGTCTGTTGTTAAAGAATTTTATTCCCTTATAGTACTCAAGATTATGGAATAATTCCAACCCAAGATAGGAATGAAGTATCTTTTCCAGGGTAGCAGTACCTCAAACTCCGAAAAACAACCAACAAAGTGAATTTGCGAGAACCACAGGGACACAAATTTTCTTTTGCCAAGAATGCATAAAAAATCCATTTTTAGGTTTTGCCAGATTTTCGGTAAGAACCACAATTACTTGGATTTTTTTGAAATGCATGGCGATGGTCGAAGCCGGAGATGGAAGAAGAGGGTATCGCCGACGACGATCCTTGAGAGAGAGAGAGAGAGAGAGAGAGAGAGAGAGAGAGAGAGTATTGCGGCGGTTAGTTGGTTACAGTCTTACAGAACTCTCTAAATCTAACTTTGATTTTTCTTTTTGGAGAAGGAGGTGGAATAAAGAGAGATTTTTGAGGATAAAGGTTGAGGAATGAGATTAGTCGCTCTTAATGGAGAAAAGAAAGGTTCCTCTTGATCAAGTTGCCTCAAATTTAGACTAAAAAATCCTGCCAATTTCTGTAAGTTGACAATGTAGAAGATAATAAATTCATAATACAAAGAAAGAAGTGAATTTGGATTTTTACTGGATGGGTTTACGAGCACAAAGGCCGGCTGCAGCGAAGCCGGCCCATGTCATGTCAGGCAACCCAATGGCCTTAGATTCTGGGCCGAATAGTTTAGTGTGCCTAGAGAGGATGCACCATTTAAAATACTAAGCTTGATGGATCATTGGTGGTGTGTTGAGACGTAGACGTATGATGATGGCGACCGGGACTATAGAAGTGGGTTACATTTCTACCGATAGTGGCGGACACAGAAATCAGAATTATTAAAGAGGGGTGTCGATAAAAAATTATAATAGATAAAATAATTAAATAAAAATTTAATAGAAATTATTGGAAATTCATTTATA